TACATTTAGTAACTCAAAGAGGTTGAATACTAAATTTAAATATTCTAGCAATTGTACAAGTTTTAAAATAAGACTTTTTTAAACTAATAATAACAACTTAATGTTTTTTTTAATCAGAAGTTATTTGTTTAATAAATTTGTAAAATAAATATTAAATTTGCTTAATTAAAAAAAACAATACAGAGTGTGTCAGAAAACAAGTGCCATCTCTCGTGGGGAGATTCCTCACATAAAAATAACATTTATTTTTCATATCAACATAGGTCCGATTCTGCTTTGTTTCGTAGTTACAGGGTGGCAAAAACTCAATATTTTGTCGATTTATTATAATTATCTTCCTAGTACTTTAGTGATTTGAATGGAATTTTTGAGGTAAAAATTAATATAAGTCGTGTTACATATTTTAATGCTAAAAAAGTGTCAATAAATTTATCAGTGTCGTGCATATGGGTTATCACTGGAATATTAAAAAAAAACTTGTGCGCCACTGACTTTTTTTTTATATCAAAATTGTGTAGGCTAATTAAAAGTTATCTCTTGATATTTTGTCCAATTCGGCCTCCTTGATGAGATAAACGCAAGTTTTTTAATCACAATTAATAAAATTAATAAATTATATATTTTACCTAATTTATTATTAAATATTATTACTATTAGTTATTATTACTATTAGTCCAACATACAGCAATTTCAAATAAAAATATAATGGTATTTAAGATAATTACAAAAAACATAATTTTAAAAAGTTTTAATATCCTGTAACTCTAAAACTATGCATTTCCATACCCATGTTTATAGGAACTTTTTTTCATATTTTTTGATGAGGAATCAATGAACCACAAAATATACACCATACAGAAGCGACAAAGAGATTTGCTTTAAAATTTTTAGGAGGGGGTAATGCTGGTTAACTGTCAAACGTGACGTCAAAGAATTATACACCAAAAAAAAATTCACGACCGCAGGTATAATTATTTCTAGATATTATGCATAAAAGACTGAAAAATATATTTCATAATTATTTATTTATTTTTAATTCTAAATAAAAATACTGATTTAAATCCCTCTAGTTTTTAAAAATTAAATAAACCTGCCTTTCATCATTTTCTATTAAAATCTAACAATTTTCTTTCAGTGTGAAATGCTGTTCAAGGCGCACGGATGTCAAACGTGACGTCACTCAATTAGTTCCCATTTGACCAATGCTATTCAAAGCTCTTTGTCGCTTCTGTATGGTGTATATTCTGTGCAATGAACACTTATTTAAAACTTTCGCAAGTTAATGATATTAATTTTTTTTAACGGTTAGCAACCGTTAAAAGACTTGGATCAAGGCAAATTAATAAAATTGCGTTTATATCATCAAGGAGGCTGAAATCGACAAAATATCAAGAGACAACTTTTAATCGGCATTAAACTGCTTAAGACGGTCCTACACGATGTGGCAAACACCTTCAAACGTTGGACGTACGGCATTCGCCACATCGTGTATGGGAGCGCAGAAATCCATGTGTCGAACGTTCGAAGTAAGTTCGGGCTCTTGTCGGTAAATTTTACGCAAGTCAAAGGACCTTCCAACGTTCGAAGTAATGTTCGATGCGCTCCTACACGAGAGTCTTCACGTGGCTGATATTTTACTAGGGATCAGTAGCGCCCTCGCTTTTAATGCTAAAACGTGGTCTCCTCAGGCTGAAAATTTTTCGTGATTTGTTCTTTGTCAGAAATATGTAAGTACATACATAGGTATATAGAAAGATTAATTATTGGTTTTCTTTGTGTAAATAAATATCTGACAGAATTTTTGGTTATTACATTACTTTAGTGAAAACACTTAAATTTATTTTTATTCATTCACCTTTTTTTACTCATCAAAATTTTCTTCTTATATTAGATATGTGAATAAGTTTTTACTTTTTACTAAAATTACTTTTAAAATTTTCCGTTTTTAGTTAAAATGGAGTGGAATAATCAAATGATAATGGAATTTATTTCAATTTACGAGAAATATCCAATTATATGGAATCCGAGGCATTCCGACCATAAAAATCGGAATGCCTTAAATGATGCTTGGCGTGAAATTTCTCAGGAAATGAGCATAGACTTGTCAGTAGCAGAATTGAAGAAAAAAAAATCTGTAATGGCAACGTATAGAACATTGAGGAGGAAAGTTATAGATTCTTATACAACCGGATGCAGATATATACAAACCATCTTGGTTTGCTTATGATGCTATAGACAGATTCATAAGAGTAACAAGAAATAAAACCCTGTTACGTCTTCTTTTTATTTTGCTTCTGTTGCAGCAGTTTAGCGCAACTAAAAACTCATACCAGCGGCAATCCCAGCACTAAATATATTATCCATATCTGCTCAAGCCAAGAGTACGTACGACATGGTTAATTTCTCAAATGTAGCCCCAGGTTTGTGTCCAACGTTGGAACAAACATTCAATGCATCGTGTAGGAGACACATTCGCCAATTGTAATATTGTCGAAAACTGTGTCAAATATTGGTTCGAACGTTCGTGCGAACGTTGTTGGACGCATCGTGTAGGACCGTCATGACACTATTTTTCTAACAAGAGAAAAAAAAGTCAGTGGCGTACATGCTTTTTTTTAGAAAAATATTCCAGTGATAACCCATATGCACGTCCCCAGTGAATTTATTGACACTTTTTTAGCTTTTAAATATGTCGCATTGATTGTTACTTTTACCATCAAAATTTCATTCGAAACGCTAAAAGTACTTAGAAGATTATAATAAATCAAAAAAATATTAAGACTTTAACACCCTGTAGCAACGAAACAAAGCAAAATAGGACCTATGTATGATATGAAAAGTGAATGTGAGGAAACTCCCCACTAGAGATGGCAGACGTTTTTTGAAACACCGTGTATAAAACGTACATAAGTCCATTTATCCATTTATTATCTTAGGTAGCATATTAATAAGATTTAGATCCACAGAATAATCTTATCTGTTTCGATCCGATAAGAAATGATACGTGTTTCGATAATCATAAATTATTGTAAGTACATCCAGAAATGTACATTATTTCCTATTAATTATATAAAATTAAACAAATAAGATATAAGTAAATACTTCATTTTATCATCAGGACTTTTATTAATCTCTTATAATTATTTCAGTCTGTTATATGTTATGTAATATGTACTATTTTACCTAACATATTCCTAACTAGCCCTTAGCTAATACTAATGTCACGGATTGCATTTAGAATGCTTGTGAATGGCTGAGCGTGCAGACACCTTTCAAGCGGAAAACTGTAATAATCAGTGATCAGCTAAGCAGCCATATCGGCGCTGAACTCATTTCCATATACTCCAGAATAGTCAAAAAACATACAAGGTTAATCGACGTACCAAGTAGACACGACATAACTTTGCTTTGGATCCAAAGGATCCAAGCGTCTGGTGTTAAGTTTATATGTTTATATTATCCCAACATTTTTGGTAATTTTAGATAGCCCTGTCTAAATTTGAGAATTGTTGAAATGTATTTACTTTAGTTGCCGTACTTCCTCTAGGAGACGCGAGACATTGTCTGTTGGTGGGGAAGCTCCTAGTTAGGAGATAGGAGGAACTGACGCTTCGTTGGTTGAAGTGGCGAATATAATCGCTTGTCAAACTCCAATTAGGATCTCTTAGATTGTTAAGTGTTTATAACCATTCGGTGGCATTGAGGAAATGAGGATGAATGACGTTATGCATCTTCAAGCAACATTTTCAAGATTTACAAAGCTGTAACTGTGTATATTTATCTACCCTTTCTATGGGCCTTGTATTAAATGTTATATTGGAGTTTTTAAACATATCTGGATTTCTGGATATTATCATAAATTTAGTTTTCTTGATGTTTATGTTCCAACCCATTGCTTTACTCTGTTCTCCTAACTTGTTGACCAGTTGTTGTAGATCGTGTATATTATCTGCAATCAAGACCGTATCGTTGGCGTAGCGGATGTTATTAATCCACACTCCGTTAACTTTGACTCCCATTTCCACGTCCTCTAGAGCCTCTTGGAAATAGCCTCTGAGTACAAATTGAATAGGAGTGGAGACAGCACGCAACCCTGCCGCACCCCCCCTTCTAACTTGTTTGGGATTGTAAATGGTATTGGCCAATTTTATTTGTGCTGTTTGGTTTCAGTACAAGTTTTCGATGCATTGTATGTTAATTCTTAATATTATTATTACAATCTACTTCGACTCAATGAAAAACTTCTAACCTCAAACAACAAACAACACATTAAAGTTGCATAAGTAGTAATATTGCGGCACATCATTTAACCAACATGTCGGTGCATTTATGTGTTGGGCAATATTATTTCTTTTGACTGTTAACACATTGCAATTTCTGAAGTGTAAGCAAGATGAAAAAATGTAGTATAGTTTTGATTGTTGCGCAATTTTTAAAGTTGCAACGATAGTCTCACATTTAAATTTAGGAATGGCGACATTTTTCAGATTGCACAATGCAAAAAGTGTACAAGTGTGCGAGTACTTCGGTCAAAAGAATGAGTGGCTAGATAGAAGACCAGCCTCTACTGGTCTCAACCTTGGGGCACCAGGGGGCAACCCAGGAAGATCCCAATGTATGATGAGTTATAGACTGTATGATGAGCTATAACTCAAGAAAGGAGGACATAATAGATCTTTAAGGTCGAGGTGATTAACCCGCCCTCATTACAAGTAACTCTAAGTTACGTCGAAATAGAGCTTTTGTGACACCAGTGGATTGTGTTTCTTTTTCTTTTTATGTACGTATGTATGTATGGACTGTGTTTGAAAAAAAAACTAATCTTCAACCTCAAATTCATTAATATTGATACTTATTCTTCTTCACTGAAGTATGTTACGCATTAATTAAATAAAAAAAATCATTACTCTATCATTTTTAAATCTATTTTATTTATTATCAGTGACGATGAAAAATAATTTATCAAAATATAAATCTCTTTTTAATCCTTTAAAATAAACATTCATAGCTTCCTACTCGATAAAATATTTTATAAAAGTATCGTTTTTATAATTAATTAGTACTACAATCGACTGCGTCTCAAGATGTCAAAACTATATAATGTACTATTAGTTTTGTGTCTAGCCTGTGGAACTTTAGGGGAGAATAACTATGAGGGGTAAATATAAAATTTTATAGATTTATAATTATTATAAAAGCAAATTTCTAAGAAAAACTAATTTTCTTGATTCTGAAATGTCAATAATTCACATTTTAGATACAAGTTGTATCAAATTACGCCAAAAACAGAAGATCAAGTGGAATTCCTTCACCAATTAGACTCCAACGGCCATTTTGACTTCCTGAGACACAGTCGTCTGTTAGGAGACAATAGCGAGGTCATAGTTGCGCCGGAAATCCAAGATTTTTTCGAAAATACCCTGATAAACTTTACCGCTTCCGGTTTGGAGTATAAAATAACTGTAGAAAATGTTAGAGAGTAAGTAAAACTTTCAACAGATGATTTAACAGCTTGAACTTAATAGTCTCTTAATTTTGATTATTTATACATTGTAGATATACCCATATATTTTTTGAATTTTTTAAGAACTCTCTTCATGCTAATTTAATTTAAAATTATTTAGTATCGATGTGTATATTCATAATTCATGGCGAATTGGCTTTTTATCTAGGTTTTTTTGAATTTATAAATATTTTATTCATTGCATTATTAATTTTTTAACTTCTACATTTATCTATCATTCATTTCTTATATCTAGATGTATTTATATGCATATATTCTATCTCAGCACATCTAAAATTATGAAACTTTTTTTACAGAGCATTGGAGACAGAAACAGCACCAAACAGTACGAATCATTACCAAGCATCCAGCTCACTCTTTACAGAGTTTGTATCACACGCAGTGGTAATTTTTCAAGCTATAGCCATAGAAATGTATTAAATATTTTGTATATTGACGTTTTCATTTACAGATGAACGAATATTTGCTTACTTTGGAACGCTTATATCCTCATATTGTCCAAGTGGAATCCATAGGCAGAACTTTCGAAGGCAGAGATCTACTCTTAATAAAGTAAGGGACATTATATTGAGTAATAAAGATAACATTTCTAAGTTTGAGATAATGATATTTGAGTTAGATGCTAGAGGATGTATTAATAATAATTGATAATGAAGTTTATTATTTGGTACCTGTATCGTTAAATACACCTTTATACTGGATGTTTTAAAAGAAATGTGCCATCTCTCGTGGGGAGATGGTACGGGATCCTCACGCAAAAAGATTTATTTTTCATATCAACATAGGTTCGATTCTGCTTTGTTTTGTAGCTACAGGGTGTTAAAGTCTTAATATGTTTTCATTTTCTTCCAAGTACTTTTAGCGTTTCGAATGAAATTTTGAGGGAAAAAGTTACTATATAAATGCCAATTAAAGCTAATTTTTAAGCTAAAAAAGTGTCGACACATTCACTAAGGACTTGCATATGGGTATCACTGGAATATTCTTCTAAAAAAGCAAGTACGCCACTGACTTTTTTCCTCTTGATAGCAAAATAGTGTAAGTAGTTTAATGCCGATTAAAAGTTGTTTCTTAATATTTTGTCGATTTAGACCTCCATGGTGAGAAAAACTCAATTTTATGAATTTGTTTGATCCGAGCAACCTTTAAAACATTTAATATCATAAATAAGTACTCATTGTTTCCTCATCAAAAATGAAAAAAGTTCCTATAAACATGGATAGGAAAATGCATAGTTTTAGAGGTACAGGATATTATTTTTTTTAAATTAGGTTTTTTGTAATTATCTTAAATACCATTATTTTTTATTTGAAATTGCTATAGGTTAGGTAGGTATGTAGGTCTAATAGTTATAATATTTAATACTAAATTGTGTAAAATATATAACGTATTAATTTTATTAATTGTGATTAATAAAATTGCGTTTAGCCGAATTCGACAAAATATCATGATATAAAAATCACGAGATCACGAGATCTTTTTCATACCGTCCTATTTTTTGGCATAGGCTCTCCTGTAGCCCAAATTTTTTCATAACTTCGTTATGAATCAGATGTTCACTATTTTTCGACTCTATTTTCTCAGCTTTTTTAAAATAAGTATATTTCATTAATAGCACTAACTTTTTGTGATTTGGCTTTGGCTTGTTATATCAGTACTAACTCTAAAAACAACTTATCTTGAATATTTTAATCGTTACGATGTCACATATATCTACTATTAAAAAAGGATAATCCACTTCTGATGTAATTTTTAACGTTACAAACGGCAGTACTGCATGCGTATGCAATACAAATTTTACTTAATACTTTTCAAGTGCCTTTAATTCTCCTTTTAAAGTAAAGTTTGTTCGTCTGTCCAACCAGTTAAGGAAGAATAATGATTTAAGATGCCGTCAGCCGGCATCTAAATAATGACAGAAAATATAATTTTCCTATAACATAAAATGACATTCAACAACTCTGTCAGTGTGTATTTTCCCGTTAAATAAACTTTACATAAATAAATTCATAATTTATTTTTCGTCAAAGTCTGGAGTTTGTTCTTATTTCAGATCACTTGTCCGGAATTTCCAAAAACTTGTATGAAAACCCTAAGTAAAGATAATAATTAACCGATATAACTATAATCAGTTATATATAGTTATATATATATATATATATATATATATATATATATATATATATATATATATATATATATATATATATATATATATATATATATATATATATATATATATATATATATATATATATATATATATATATATATATATATATATATATATATATATATATATATATATATATATATCAGAATATATAACTGATTATATATATATATATATATATATATATATATATATATATATATATATGTGTCACAGGCGTATCGAATAACTCGGCATTTTGTCTAGAAAAGATTAGACTATTATAAAACGCCGCCGTTTTTAACAATAGGCGAATATTTTGCAAAGAGCAAGAGCCCATCTGGTTTCAGTCGCTTTGCAAAACGCCTAATGAAGATTAGTCATATTGCACAAAACATTTTACGCCGGATTAGTAAAACTAGCCTAAATTTATTCAACGGCATATCTTGAACTTCTCTTTGAAAATTAATTTTATTCGAAAAGAATTAAAGTTCCAAAAAAGAAAACAAAGTTCCAACAAAGAGACAGCCCTGTACACAGAATGAAATTACAGAGTATAATAATTAAACGAGATATTAATATTAAGGTTCTAATATATTTTGTATTTAAAATTATGTTAGCTATAATTATAATTTATGAAATAGGGTTCAAGTTCTTTTCGTCTAAACAAAATAAAATTTTGACAAATTATTGTTTTGTATAGGAAAGTATGGGGTATTTCTATTAAAGCGTAAATTATTCAATATACTGATGCTTATAGCTGAGTAAATTTAAATCATTTTTTAATCTGTCTGGCCTCAATTTGCCATTTTGTAAAACGACTGAAAACAGGCAGTCTTTATTGCAGAAGTGTACAGAAAATATCGTCATTGTTTAATAAGCCTAATTCTGATTAGACTTTTTGTAAAGTGACTGAAAATAAATAGACTTTTTGTAAAAATTCCTTCTTTTATTTAAAAAGCCGGCGTTTTATAAAATGCCTAGTCTTTTCGCAAAAGCCGAATTATTCTATGCGCCTGCGACATATATATTCCGGTATATACCGGACGGATCGAGAAAAAAATATTATACTTTATGGAGCCTAGTCGCATGAAAACTAGTTGCGCGCCACCAAATTTCAACGTATATGATCTAACAACTTTAACTAAGAAACCCGATTTTCTCCGCAAAATCTCGACGCCACAGCGAGCTTTTATGATTTATACGCGCGCCCTACGATGCCAATTTATCATAATATTACCACGTTTGAATATTTAAATATGCGTTTCAGAATAGGAGCCAATCCCAACAATCCCACCATACTGGTAGACGCGGGCATCCACGCCAGAGAATGGATAGCGCCACCAGTGGCATTATACATCATTAACCAGCTAGTGGAGAACCCGGCCAACTACCGACTCTACCAGAACGTTAATTGGAATATAATTCCCAGCCTAAATCCGGACGGATACGAATTCTCCCGGTCCTCCACATGGGTAAGTAGGAGATTACTACGCGTATCGCGAGGAAGGGGGAATTTATGTGCACAAAACGTCTTGGAATTAGAGTATTGTTCGCGGGATTGTCTCGTTCTCGGTATTGTTCTGTGCATAAAAGTCGGGAATTTAGATAACTGAATGATGTACAGGGTGGATAATCGGATACTTATAAAGGGAAATACTCTTTTCTATAGCAGATAGACGAAAACAAATATCGGTGTTTGAAGCTCATTTTTTTTATCAAAAACAAGATGGTAAAAACAGCACATCGATATATGTTACCGTTTCGGAGTTACGCGGTGTTTGTGCATTTTTAACAAATCGCTGTAACATTTTTGTTATAGGAAATTTTGTATTTTTATGAAAACATTTCCAAATCACCTTTTTACGTAGATTTTATTGACTTAAGTATATATATTTTATATTAATAATTTAAAAGATATCAACAGAAAAAATATTTTTTTGTAGGGGAGACCCTGTATATTTTTGATTCATTGAAGAAAGTAAAGAAAAGTAAAGATTTCAGTTAACGTCTCCTTTTTGCTGCCAGGGCTAATCTGGACGGGGCCTACTTTGTTTACGCGGAATGCGAACCGCGGTCCTCGGCCATATCATGGTCAATGGCCTACCGACTTGGCAAGTGTCTAAATCGACTCTTACTCACGAGATATCCGATCTCATCCGGCCTCGAAACGGCGTGAATGAGCAGTGTGCGTTAATAGATTTTACACTTTTGCCTTTTTTTGAACAGCACGATACAGAGTTTCGAACCGGTCACCCGTCCATCCACTAGTATCGCCTTACGTCGCTTAACTTCGGTGTTCTAATGGGAACCGGTGTTCATTGAAGAGAACTTATATTTACCTTTTCAATAATATAGCGCACTTGATATTTTGTTCGAGTAGCCTTTAGATCCCGTATTGATAATCTGCCCCTAATGAAATTCGGAAACAGATTTTTCCAGCAAGACAAGGCACTGCATCACAACGCGGAAATTATCAGCATTTCCAGAATAAGCGTCACGCCAAAGACTTAACGCCTATGGATTTTTATCATCGAGGAAGACTAAAGGATCTAATTTTTAAATTGCTAGTATACTCTAGACAAGAACTAGGAGTACTTAGCGATTATACGAGGGTATCTTCCACCCCCACTGATTAGGCGCGATTCTCACTATAAACGGAACGTTATAGTCACTTGTATCGGTGACCGCGGCGCCGCGCAGTCCAAAACCTACTTATTCAAAGTGGGCGAATTTTTTTGAAACTCTATATTTTGAAAAACCATCGATCAAAATATCAAGTTTGCTATATTTTTGGAAAGATAATTTTATTTTGTTTTTTAATGAATTAAAAATATACCGGGTGTTATATGGGACACCAGAGAAATCAATTTTTCTATTGATAACTCTTAAATTATTAATTTATAAAATAAATACAACCAAACCATTAAATTCTACGTAAAAGGGCGATTTGGCAATGTTTTCATAAATATACAAAATTTTCTATAGCAAAAAAGTTACAGCGATTTGTTCAAAAATGCACATTTTTGACAAACACCCCGAAACTCCGAAACGGTATCAGATATGGATGTGAGGTTTTTACCTTAATATTTTTGATAAAAAAATGAGCTCCAGACACCGATATTAGTTCTCGTCTATGTCCTATAAAAGTGGGGTGTTTCCCTTTAAAAATGTCCAATTTGGCTCACCCTGTACATTTAAAAAAATAATTTCCTACAGCATTTTTTTCTTAGAGAATTATCTGCATCTCAAAGCACTACAAATAAACTAATCAAAATGGAAGTACGATTGAAAGCATTTGAATAAAAAGTAAAGTCACCTCAATCCAGACCTCCATCACTATGACGGATAGTTCCTTATTCGGACGCGATGTTTGTCCCCAAGAGAAAAATTCCGTTATTCAACATTTTCCGTCAGTTAATTGCAAATTATGTTATCTGAGAAAAATATAATGACTGGAAGCATAATAAAATAGATATAAAATGAGTGCAAGTTTTTCAGCATTTTTCTTTAGAAGGTATTTCCTACTTTAACATACAAAAAAAAATGTGTGTGCACTATGTGCGCATATTTCCGTTCGTCTGTCCGTCTGTCTGTCCCCTGCCCGTCTGTTCGTCTGAGAACTCCGTTCGAGTACCTTTATCCCTGTGCCGAGTTTGGTTACAATCGACCCATAATTAAGAAAAATCCTGATGATTTTGTCCATTTAGAGGCATCGGTTCGACACGTCGAGGGCGTCATCCTGTGGCCCGTCGCAAATTATGCGGATACCGACCCACATTTTTTTTAATATCAAATCCTTAGTCCCACCGTGATGAAGATGTAAACAAAACGTAACTCACTATTGGCAATGAACTAGTACACTTTTTTCTTGCGCGGGGTGTAATTGCGCATCATTGTAATTATGCTCGGGGGCAAAACTTAATTTACCAATGTTTTCGCTATTATATTCATTCATTAGAGACGGAATGGACCTCTTGGCAAGCCATTTTTGACAGATTTGTTTAACACGTTTGAAACTAATTTGATTTTTTTGCAAATTTTTCGATACTTTCAGAATTCATTTAATGTTATTTCTAAATCTTAAACATACTGTTATAATCATATTTCTTCTTTGCCATCTTTTTATAGAACAGGCTATGGAGAAAAACACGTCAACCTAACCAATCGAGCACCTGCATCGGAACAGACCCAAACCGTAACTTTGAATATTACTGGATGTTTGCTGGGGCCAGTGCTGACCCCTGTGACGAGATATATGCTGGTCCACAACCATTTTCCGAGCCAGAAACAGCAGCACTCGCAACATACGCTCTCAGAAACAGAGATCAGATCAAGTTGTACATCAGTTTTCATAGTTATGGAAATATGATACTATATCCATGGGGGTGAGCATAAAAATAATTATGAAATAAGAAGTTAAACTTGGTTACTTTAAATAGACACCACAAACAAATTTAAATAAAACACCCTGTATATTTTACGAGACTCAGATACACAATTTAATTGTCCATCAAATTGTATTACACCATTTTTTACCTATCTCTTCAAGTTTTCGTAGAAAATGCATTTTGTTATAATTTAGACCTCATTTTTCAATATACCCATGGAATATTGACATTTTAGATTTTTTTAAAGCAATAAATGTACAAAATGTACAGGTGCTAAAAACGATAATATTGCAAAAAAATGAAACAAAATTTATAAGGTGTTACTTTTTACCACACTGTCTAATACACACATACAAAATTCAGTTTTTTAGTATTTGGATTTACAATAATTATTATTAATCAATGCAAACAGTCAATTAATGTAGTTTGAATATTTAGATCATATTGATTGGTCCTCTAACAAATATTTGAAAAGTTTATTTTTTATTTTTAATGAAATAAGCGAATTATATCGGAAATATTAGTATCTGGTACTCTTTGAAAATTTGTTACATCTTTAAAAATAATCTAAAATATTCATATTCCATGGGTATGATAAATGGGGTCTAAATTATAAGAAAATGCATTTTCTACGAAAACTTGAAGATATATTTAAAAAAAAATGGTATAATACTATTTGATAGTCAATTAAATTTTGCATCTGATTCTCGTAAAATATACCATAATCAAATTTACCTTTATTTAAATCGTAGAATCTAAAAATATAATAATATACAGGGTGTTCCATTTAAAAAAATACAACTATAATATTTTTACTTATTTGGGACACTCTGTATCTTGTAAAAATATTTGTAAATTGTAGCTCTAATAGTCCTTCAACGAACCGAAAACTTGCAGTTTTTAAAAATCTAATCGTTTAGCCAACACAATACTCCGTGCCGTAAGTGGTGAACAACCCTGTACAATTCTAATATGAATTTTTTAAACGAACCGTATTGTAAACCATTACACTTACGATTTACCAAACTTCGAACGAGCCGTAGAAAGGAACAAGTCGCATACGAACAATTCTTATGACTTTACGACTCGTTCGTTCAAATCTTATCAATCCGTGCTGGCCACGATTCATAAAGAACCGTATTCTAAGCGGTGAATCAAATCTCACTTCATTTTTAATACTCGTTCAAGTGAACAAGCCGTTCAATGTTTTCCCACCTCCAATCTGAACAATCTTAATGCTTCTTTATTCTATTCTGTTCAGCATAGTTTCTGGTACTTTTATTGGTATTTTTATCTCGTTATATTTCCATACGATATCTCTACTCTTGACATTTTCTACTGCATCCACTTAATTTCAAAACAATAATAATGCAATATCATAGATAACCGTAGATAACATAGATATTAAATAAATTTTTGAAAAAATTGTTTTTTTATCTATACCACTCTCAGATTAGATATAGATATACCATAATCTATATTATTCTTTATTTGATAACAGATACACTAACGATCTGCCAGATAACGCTGAGGAACTCCAGTGGCTTGGTGAATTAGCAGGCTTGGCAATTGGTAGAGTTAGTACCCTCAATTCTCGTTACGTAGTTGGTAGTTCCACAAACGTTCTCTATGCAGCAGCTGGTGGAAGTGACGATTGGGTCAAAGGAGTAACGGGTGTTGGTTTGGCTTACACCATCGAACTTCCAGCAGGAGGTAAGCAAAGTTTTCGAGCTAAATATGAAATTATCTACAAACCATTGTACAGGGTGGCGCCTCTCAAACGCCGCGGAGGCTCCAAGGAGAACGACAGTTTGTATTGAAATGAAATTTTGTGAGCATATCTAGGTTAATTCAGAGCACTTTTTAAAAATATAGAGAGTTCTACAGGGTGTCCCCAAAAAAAGTTACATATCAAAGTTGTGTTTTTTGTAATGGATCGCCCTATATTTTAATTGATTTTCAGATTCTGGGAGAAAAATAAAGGTGAGTTTTATAAGAGAAGTATATGACTAAAATGTAAGGTTTTTGACATATTTAACATTTTCTAGAAATAAAGAACAATTTTTAAATTACAATAAAAGCTACCTAAATTGGAATTTACCCGGTATAGCCTAATATGTAGTTAAATTAACTATTGTACTTTAAATCAAATTAAAAATTGATCCATAAAGTTATACAGGTTGAGACAAAATTAATATTGAACATTGGTCACCTTTAACAGCATGTTACTCTTTTATTTTAAATGGAACACCCAGTATATACTCAATGGGGAACGCATGTCTCTTTACTCAATGGGGAACGCATGTCTCTTTAAAATACCATTAAGGTTGCCTACCCCTCAAACAAGGATTTTCCTAGATATTTTCATTTACATTATTTGATCTGAGTAGATCTTTATTATTTGATAAAATCTAGGTGGCTGTGATATGTCAGATGTTACTTCAACATAGCTGTCTAATTAGTTGAATTTTAACAACTAGTTATAATTTTGTGTCAGTTAAAACAAAAAAAATTCTCAGAAATTTGCCGAAACTGCAAACAAATCCAACATCAGAGAGAATTGATATGATTCTATTAGTTGGTGAATGCAGTGTGCAGTATATTGAATGTACACTGCATTCACCAATTAATAGAATACCTAAATGCTCCTGATTTTATCTAGTCTGGGTTTTTTATGGCGATATGTTAAAGACAGTGTTTACAATACTCGACCAACTATTATCGATAACAATAAGAGAAATTATTGTAGCTGCTTTTCGAGGTAGAACTCCACATAAATGCCTTTTAAAATGAAAAGATCCTTTTGAAACGACAATCATTTTATGCTGTTAACAGGAGAGGAAGCATTTTGAGCATTTGATTTCATCTAGCTAATTTTTGTCACAAAATTATAGGTTTATATCTAGTTTTAATTCTGTAATAATTAAAATATGTTTTAAATGTGTATCTTTTTATTACCGTTGAATATTTTACTTTACAATCTTTAATTTTTATTAAATTAGCAAAAGGTATATCACACACCCACCTAGATTTTTCCAAATAATAAAGATCTAATAACGCAAAATCATAAAAAATCAACTATCTAGAAAAGTCTTTGTCTGAGGAGTAGGCAACCTTAATAATATTTTGAAGATATATAAATTCCCCATTGAAAACCGGAAAAATATACTGGGTGTTCCATTTAAAATAAAGGAGTAACTTGCTTTTAAAAGTGACTAATGTTCCGTATTAATTTTGTCTCACCCTGTATAACTTTTCGGGTCAAATTTCAATTTGGTTTAACAAACAATGGTTACTGAAATTAAAAATCAGGCTATACAAGGTCAACTAAAATTTAGGTAGCTGTTATCGAAATTTAAAATTTACTCTTCATTTTCACAAAATGTGAAATATGTCAAAATCCTTAGATTTTAGGTATATGCTTCATTGATAAAACTCACCTTTATTTTTTTCATAGAATCCGAAAATCAATTAATATATAGGGTGTTCCATTAGAAAAAACACAACTTTGATGGGTAACTTTTTTGGGGGACACCCTGTATAATTCTATATATTTTTATAAAATGCTTTCAGTTAACCTACATATTCTGCCAAAATTTAATTTCGATATAAACTACCGTTCTTCTTGGAGCTTCCGCGGCGTATGAGAGGCGCCACCCTGTATATGTGATGGACATAAAGGAAATATAGACAAATAGCCATTTGCCTAGACATTTATTAACATTATTTTAATGGTTAATTTTTTGATAAGTGACTAGGTATTTCATATATTATGCCGGTTGGTTAAAGTGGCCAATTCGACGGTTTGTCGCATTCCAATTAGCAGAATTGCCATTTTGATACAACTCACTCTGAGACCCTATCCGATACAATTGGGTTGTTAAATGTTTATAACAATTCCGTGGCATTGAGGAAATGGATGACTGCCATTATGCTCTTCGCGACAACATCTTTACACTAGACATTATACAGGGTGTTTCAAAAAACATGTGCCATCTCTCGTGGACAGATTCGTCACGTAAAAATAAGATTTATTTTTCATATCAACATAAGTCCCATTCTGCTTTATTTCGTAGCTAAAGGGTATTAAAATCCAAGTACTTTTAGCATTTCGAATGATATTTTGAGGGTAAAAGGTACTATAAATTGGACATATTTTAAAACTAAAAAAGTGTCGACATGTTCACTAGGGACGTGCATATAGGTTATCACTCGAATGTTTTTCTAAAAAAACATATATGTCCTGACTTTTTTTCTCTTGTTAGTGAAATAGTGTAAGCAGTGTAATGCCGATTAAAACTTGTGTATTGATATTTTGTCGATTTCGGCCTCCTTGATGACATAAACGGAATTTTATTAATTTGGTTTGATCCGAGTCTAATAGCAACCTTTAAAAAAAATAATATCATTAACTTGCGAAAGTTTTAAATAAGTACTCATTGACTCCTCATCAAAAAATATGAAGACAAGTTTCTATAAACATGGGTATAGAAATGCATAGTTTTAGAGTTACAGGATCTTAAACCTTTACAAAATTAGGTTTTTTTTAATTATCTTGGATACAATTATTTTTTTATATAAAATTGCTGTAGGTTGGACTAATAGTGAGAATAACTAATAGTAATAATAATTAATAATAAATTAGGAAAAATATATAATTTATTAATTTTATTTTTATTTTTATTTTATTCATTGTGATTAATAAAATCGCGTTGATCTCATCAAGGAGGCCGATTTCGACAAAATATCGAGAGATAACTTTCAAATGGCATTAAACGGCCTACACAATTTTGATATCAAAAGAAAAAAAATCAGTGGCGCACGTCTCTTTTTGAAAAATATTCCAGTGATAACCCATATGCACGTCAATGATGAATATCTCACTCAAAATGTCATTCGAAATGCTAAAAGTACTTGGAAGAAAATTATAATAAATCGAAAGATTATTAAGACATTAACACACCGGAAAAATCTAGGGATATCATTTTATTAAAATTAAAAATAAATGTTTTGAATAAACAACCACATATTTGTAGGCCGATTCTTTCTACTTCGATTGAAACAAAGTAGTCACACTAGTTTTTTCCAAATTTGGGATATTTGCAGAAGTGTTTGTGCATTTTGTGTCAAATGTATAAAAAGTACCTAGCATCAATTGTTCGAAATTAACCTGTACTGGCTATGCTTTTATGATAACTGGGCAGAATTCATTCAAATAACTTTGTTTAGTATTAAACAACATTATGGAGCGTAGACATCTTAACAACAGATTTGGCGAAATGCTAAGGGCCGAAATAAAGCTGAAATGCGCCAAATCGACGCAGCTAGAGCATTAAATACAACGCAAAGTGTTATATCGCGATTAAGTGCACGCTACCGTGAAAGTGATGATGTTGCTGAAAGGCACACAGGGCGACATCGCATTACTACCTCTAGCAAGATCATTTTTTACAATTAAATGCTCGACGCCGCCCGACTCTTACAGCACCAGAGCTTAGTTTAATTCTCCAGGAAACACATAATGTAACCGTTAGTCCTGACACTGTTCGCAATAGATTAAGAGAGGTCAACTTAAGAAGCAGACGCCCCTGGAGAGCTCAACCCTTAACAAGAGGAAATCGAGAGGTAAGATATTTGTGGGCTCAAGATCATGTTCAGTGGTCGAATGAACAATGAGCCAATGTTCTCTTCACGGATGAGTCACGCTTTGGAATTCATCCGGATTCGAGAAGGCTTAGGGTATGGAGATAACCAGGAAATCTTATTCGGTTGGATCATGTTCAGGAAGTGCACCCTTATCAAGGTGGAACAGTTATGGTCTGGGGGGGAGTCCAGTTAGGCCGAAAAACCGATCTTGTTTTTCTTTAAAGGTTTCTAACAGTAATCACATATCGTGATTTAATTGTCGAGCCTGTCGTGTTACCATATGCCAATGATTTTGGGAGAAACTTCATTCTCATGCATGACAATGCACGGCCTCATACAGCCAGAGTGGTAAGTGAGTTTATCAATGCTCATGAATTAAACATCTTACCCTGGCCGGCACAATCTCCTGAACTCAACCCCATCGAGCACGTATGGAACGCGGTCCAAAGAAGAATTTTGAGAATGGGTATGCCTCGTGAAACTCGTAGGGATCTGGTTCGGGTCGTGAATACAGCGTGGCAGGCTGTACCTCAAGAAGAGATCGACAACCTGATCAGGAGCATGGAGAGACGATGTAGGGCTGTAATGAACAGTAGAGGAGGTCATAACCTTTATTAAGTAAAAATAGTTTTATCTTTTTTTTTTAATTCACAGTTTAGAATAAAAAAAAATTGTGTATTTTTTGAGTTCAATAAAAATCAAGGCAAATTTAAAAAATTCGGTAAATTTCGGATTTTTATTTCCAGTACGTCCTGTAAACTATTTGTTTATTTTAATTCTATTATATCAGAAATGCAAAAAACAAAATTACTGACGATGGCTGGATAAAATTGTAATATCCCTAGACTCTTCCGGTGTGTTTATCTTGTAGCTACGAAACAAAGCAGAATCGGACCTATGTTGATATGAAAAATATTATTTTTACGTGAGGAATCTTCCCACGGGAGATGGCACATGTTTGTTGAAACACCCTGTAGAATAAAAATTCAACCAATAATAGTGAAAAAATAACATATTCAAATCCAAAAAGATATTGAAATATACAGAAAGTACTTTATTAAAAATATAAAGAAAAATATAGAGAACAAATGGCAACAACAGTCATATTTCATTCAATCAATCATTCCAAATCTTTCGGCCAATTAACAAAAAAATCTCACTTCACTTCAGTTCACTGCTAATTTTAATAAAAAAATAAATATTTTTTTATGTGTAACTATTTTATATAGTTTATTTTTTTTTATTTTTGAAGGTCTTTTTGGATTCAATCCACCAGCAACTAGCATTCTGCCCATTGTGCAAGAGACGTTTGAAGGCATTACAATATTCCATGCATATGTAGAAGCAGCATATAGCAAAAATTAAAACACAATTGTTTTTTTTCCTCAATCTAAATAAATATTATATTTATACTAATACTAAAACTAGTTTTCTTTTCCTTGAATGTACATTTTTTTTTATTTAGGGTGTTTCAATATTCTTAACAGTTTTTCTGACAAATCAGGGTATTATCGTTGATTGAAGGAATTGGGAAGAATTGGGAACGCAACCTAATGGGCAAATTCGTGACAAGGCTGATTTGATTTCTCCTTACGTCTCAAGTGCTGTACGGTGGAGCTTCTACTCGTTCTGCAGCCAACGCATAAAACGTTTATTTTCTCTAATTTAGCCAGCGAAGGCATAATATCTAAGACGGTGTGGAACTGAAAACGACAGTGTTGCCATATTAAAATGTGTAATATCTCTAATACGTTTGACGAAAATATCTTTGGATGAAAAATCCGAGTATGTGTATTGAAAATTTATTCGTCTTAAACATGAATAAACAACAAAAATTACACAACATTAACAAACGTATCGGCTCTTGAAAAAGCTAGCTGCGAGAGCGCAGAAGTCATGATTACTAAATCCTGCTTAAGATGGGCTGGTCATGTATGCAGGATGCAAAAAAACCGCCTACTGAAATCTCCCCTCCGATGAGCTTGCAGGCGGTAAGAAGAGCTACAGAAGACGGTACAGCGTAATGATATTTTTGAATATCCGAAGTGAGGAAAAGAGATAACTTCACATATCGGGCTTTTCAGTCACAGAAAAGCTCATGGAACAAAACGCCTTGTGTAACCGTCTTCTGATGCATATGAAATACTCGTCAGCGAGTAATGGCAGTAAGTGTCAAAAAAGTGACTGGGAAAGGGTGGTATTTTTTAAATGGACCCCCTGCATATTATTGTATTTTTGGCTACAACCGTCCTGATCACTTTACATAGTCTTAAGTTGTTTTAATAGTTCCAGAGTAATAAATCAATATATAAAAAATACTTAACTTATACTAGGTTCTTATAAAAAAATACGCATTATTTTTTTGAAAAATTAATTAAAATTAAGTACGAATTTACCTTGTAGAATCAAAACAACGCTCGGTGTTTACTGTAATTTTGGCCTTTATTATAATGTTGTAAATGTAAAAAAATGGAAAAAAAATTGATTACCAAACTTGCTATATTATAAATTAACTTTTTTGCATTTTTAGTTGGGAACACCATGTATATTGTTTTTCTTTTAGTCGCAGAATTATTAAATGAACTTTGTTTCTAAAGTGTTTTATCAAAGCCATCCGAAGGGTGTCTCACTTGGGTAAAAAATGTACATGTAAGTACTACCAAAATATAATTGGCAGTCAAGACTGCCTATGACTGCCATGTAATTATTATGGGTGACTACCCTAAGACTGCCAATGACTGCAAGCGACTGCCAAGAAAATGTACATGTAATTCCAGTAGTGAGACACCCCTCTAAGCTATCTAACAATGTTTTGTCTTGTATTATAAATCAAAGGGCCATATAATACCGTTGATTGAAAAAATGTCATATGCAACCTTATGGGCGATTTCGTGACACAAAACCTGCCCGAGATGTAGCTGGCGGTACCGTCGCGTCGCCACTAACTAGATCCAGCTAAACTAAATCTCGGACAGTTTGATTAGTGGCGTGAGTTTTTTGGATCATACGAAATCTTCAGTACCTATAGAGAATTTTTAATTTTTGTTGTTTATTCTATGTTTATTATGATACGATACGTTTTTATAAGATGTCTCTGTTGCAACATGTTTAATGCGCTTGTGTGCCAGCGCGCGGCGGTACGGCGGTGGCGTCGGCACCCAGGTTTCGCTTCCATATAACATGGTGCTGGAGATTATTACTGCTCGGTACACTGCAAGTTTTGTCTTTGTGCTCAATCCATGATTGTAGAAAACCCTGTCTTTTTTTCCAGAATGCTCTTGAGGTGCTGCTAATTCTGTGCTGAACTTCTGAGTCGATATTGGCCTTTTCTGAAACCAAACTGAGAAAACAACTAAAAGAGAAATAAGAAAAGATCTAAGGGAGTATAAGAGAAACCAAATTGTTGAAACAATTGAAAACAATAGAAGCATGAAAGTGTTAAGACGCAAAAAAACTGCTTAAAAAACAAAAAAATAATAAAGATAAGAAACACACATGGCATTATAACAACAGACACACATGAAACTAGAAATGAAATACACAAATTCTTCGAACAACTTTATCAGTCTGTTACACCAAACAAAGATAGAGTACAAAAACACATAATCTGTTACACATTACAACTTCCCCTAGGAGATGCAAGCCCTTGTCGTTGGTGGGGAAGCTCCTGGTCAGGTGCTGAGGGGAATCACCTCTAGCACTTTAACTTGGTCTAAGAAGCATCTCACTCATTGTGTTGTCTCTGGCTGTAGTGTCGTGGCCAGGGAATTGCACCAAGACATTTAACCAGGCACCTTCTACTGTCTGTGGTCAAGTCTCGCGGGTAGAGGGTGTGGAGGGGTCTTGGCTTAACCGCCGGGACCAAGAGGAGACAACCTCATCAAAAAACCTAAATCCTACGATGGTGGGACCAGATCAAAGGGATGCGTGGTTAGATAGAGACTAGCCTCTACTGGTCTCAACCTTGGGGCACCAGGGGGCACACTATTGTATTTACCTCTTACTTCTACATGCGGAGCTCTGTAGAAGTGGACTGACTAACCCTAGCTACTCGTGGGAACACTATGAGATCAAACAATCATAAAAACACCACCGGTGAAGCTGTGGGGAACCCCCCTAGTAACACTGGGAACATTATGAACGAAAGTTCCAAGGGACCAATCCCAAAGGGAACTACAGGAGAGGCGGCTGACACTTGTGCGAGGCCAGCCTACACAAGTGGTACACAAGCTACCACCTCTTCTAGTAAAGGTCGGGAGTCCACCTCTAGACCCAACAAGCGACACCAGCTACAGTTCCGTCTACCCGGCTTGGGTCAACCAGGCGGGTTAGACGATCCGCTGAGAGTAGGTCTTAGCGGAGCACAAGCACGGAGATACCTCTGACTGCTCCACGAAGGACTTGCTCCGGAGGAAGCAAAAGCCAAAACTCTCCTTGAAAAAGGAACCCTTGACCTGGCGCATCTCCACCAAAGGGCAAGAGAGGGAGCGGAAACCTCTCCTCTTTGCTCCGACAAGGAGAGAAAAAAGCCAGGATGGAAACCCGTCCCACACCGAGAGGCAAGCAGGGACGTATCACTAGCTATGCCGCTATTGCTGGACAAGTGAAAATTACGGTGCTGCCAAAGGAATATCCGGAGGTTGTACTGACTACCGACCAGCAAACGGCTCTAGAAGAGGCGATACTGGACGAAGTAGTAGCGAGCGGATTGCGACGCAACGATCCACAAAGTGTGGGTCAGCTGCGCTTTGCGGGGATACACTTTAGGGTGGGCATTATCCTCATAGATTGTGCATCTGAAAAATCGGCGGATTGGTTGATAGAAACGGCACCTAAGCTTAAAAATTGGCAGGGGCCGGGACTGCTTGCAATGAGGGGAGAAAACATCCCTAAAAGGACAACCATCACGGTTTTTCTGCCAAGAAGCAAGGGGAAAGACACCACCTACCTGCTAGACCTTATCCAAGCTCAGAACGAGAATGTGAGTACATCGAGCTGGCGAGTCCTCAACTCGAAGGAGGAGAGCCATGGTCAGGTCCTCACAATAGGAATTGACCTCAAATCCAAGGAGGCAATAGAGAAAGAGGGATATAACCTCTATTATAGATTCGGGACGGTACCGGTATCAGATCCAAGAAAAGAACAAGCTAAGAGGGGAGAAAATGGAGACAAATACTCCAGCCTCCATCTCACAAGTACCTCAGCCGGAGACAAGCTCCTCGACTGTGAAGGACACGGATGGCGAAACTCCAACCGTGAAAGGGTGTATATCCTCGGAGGAGGTTGATGACCACTCCGCGGAGGAGGAACATCTGTTGTCAGGGGGGGATGGGAAATACCCTGTCCTCCCTACAACAGGAGGATCCTTACCTACCCCAGAAACCTGATGCATGGGATATCCCAAATAAACCTGCACCATGCAAAAGGGCCTTCCGCCACAATCACAAGACTCTTTGAGAAAAACCAATATGTAATGGTACTAGCCCAGGAACCCTGGGTGTAACAGGGACAAATTAAAGGGTTGTCTGGAAAAAATTCCAGTGTAATATATGATAACAGGCAGGAATTTCCCCGAGTCTGTATTCTTATAAGAAACAACATTAACTACATGTGTTTCAAGATTTACAACCCGAGATCTTGTTCCAATCATGGTTCAACTTACTATCGAGGATTGTAGCAAAAATATCGTGATTGCCTCTGCATACTTTCCGGGTGATGGGCAGACACCGCCTCCGGAAATAGAGGAGCTCGTGCGATTCTGCAGCCAACGGCGACTACCTCTGCTATTGGGATGTGACTCCAATACGCACAATGAGGTATGGGGAAGCACTAATACTAACACTAGAGGTGAGTGTTTACTAGAATTCCTCTTAGCATACAATGTTGAAGTTCTCAATATAGGGAACACCCCCACGTTTGTGACAAAAACGCGGGCGGAAGTATTAAATTTAACAATCGGGAGTGCTAGTGTAACTAGTTACGTGAAAGATTGGAGGGTTTCAACGGAACCTTCCCTATCAGATCACAGAATCATCGAGTTCAAATTAGGAGGAATCATACTCCAAACTGAAATTCGAAGGAATCCAAGAAAAACCGATTGGGAACTATACCACACCAATCTCGTAAACAACCTGGACCAAATAGATGCAGGTAGGGCTAGGAACCACCTGTATCTAGAATGGTACGCAAAGGAAGTCAGTGGTGCAATATTGGATGCATATGAATCTAGTTGCCTCACAAGTAAGGGCATACAAAAAGTAACAACAAGCCCTGGTGGAACAAAAAGCTGGCCAATCTTAGATCGGAGGTCCGACGACTCTTCAACAGAGCCAAACCCAGCGGCGAATGGCAGCTCTACGCCGAGAAATTAACTGAGTATAATAAGGAGATTAGAAGGGCAAAGCGGTCTGACTTCAGATGCTTTTGCGAAAACATCACTTCAACTACTTATGCAGCTAGGATACACAAAGCTATGGCCAAGAGTGTTGGCCATCCCCAACATAGCACTTAAGAAACTTGACGGAAGCTACACGGAAGGAGATGAAGAGAGAGCTAACCTCCTACTTCATAACCACTTTCCAGGTAGCATATCTATTGATACGCAAGTAGCTCCGACCAAACCCCACAATCCTCGCAGGGAAGACTGGGAGACGGCCAAGCTAGTAATAACAGAACAAAAACTGAAATGGGCTATTGACACCTTTCATCCACAGAAACTGGTCTGTACCAGTTAACTGAGCTAATACAGGCAAGCCTGGATAGCAAAGAAAGAGCACTTTGTGCCTTCTTGGACATTGCAGGGGCGTTTGACAATATACCTCACAAGGTGGTCAAGCGATCTCTTGAAACAAGAGGGGTGAACAATACGATAATTCGCTGGTTTTGGGAAATGCTCTCAACACGAACAGCAGAGGCTGAGATAGGTACCAAAACTGTAGTTGTTAAAACAACGCAAGGAACTCCACAAGGTGGAGTGACCTCCCCCCTACTGTGGAGCTTGGTAGTGGATGAACTACTGGAAGAATTAACTCTAGCGGGAATACACTGCATAGGGTACGCAGATGACATAGTCATCATTGCACAGGGGAAACATGAAGGCACCCTGTGTGATATTATCCAAAGAGGATTCCGCATCGCTGAGAGATGGTGCAGGACTGTCGGGCTGAGTATTAACTCAGATAAAACCGCAGTAGTGCCATTCACCAGAAAGCGAAGTTTGAAAAACTTGAAAAGAATCCATCTAGATGGAAAGGAAATACTGCCATCACAGGAAGTGAAATATCTGGGAATAACCCTGGATAGTAAACTTCTCTGGAACAGGCATATTAAGAACATTACCAGCAAAGCCACAAAGGCTCTCATGATATGCAGAAGACTGGCGGGAAATAGGTGGGGCTGCGCCCCTAACATTTTGCGCTGGATGTATACCATGATAGTAAGACCCATGATTACTTATGGAGCAGTTGCTTGGTATACAAAACTAGAGCAACGTACAGCAAGGCAAACCCTGTGCAAAGTACAGAGACTGGCATGTATCTGCATCACAGGTGCCATGAGAACATGTCCAACAGCAGCAATGGAGGTCATTCTAGACCTAACACCACTGCATATTGTCGTCGGTAGTTATGCCAATGCGACAATGATTAGAATGGTCATTGACGGAAACAGTACTGGGAGAATTTTCAGGTCAGGGGCTTGGAACACCCTCAAAAAGAAAATTCCACTTCTCCAACTCCCAGTGGATGACATACCAAGAATTTACAACTTTGAGAAACACCTCACTGTAGTATTGAGTAATAAAAAGGATTGGAAGAAAGAAACGCTTACTCAGCATATAAAAGACCATACCATCACGTGGTATACTGATGCTTCCAAAACCAAAGCAGGGACAGGGATAGGAGTATTTGGGCCGAAAACTGAATACTCCGAACCAATGGGCACCTACCCCAGTATCCTTCAGGCAGAAATTTGCGCTATCGAAAGATGCGTACAATTTATCTTGGATAGGAACTATCGAAAACAGGAAATTGCCATCCTATCCGATAGTCAAGCAGCACTTAACGCGATCAACTCAGTAACCATCAATTCGAAGTTGGTCAAAGAATGCCTAGAGAAGCTCAACAAATTAGGCAAAGAAAATAGAGTCCTCCTACTCTGGGTGCCTGCTCACCAAGGGATAGAAGGCAATGAAAAAGCAAATGATCTAGCTAGAAAAGGAGCGAACACTCCAAACTGGACCAGAACCGTTCTGTTTTCCAAACGGGAACCAACTGAAAGCGGAACTGAAGAATCTGGAAGACTCCATCCGTAACGGAATGGGTGTCCTCCACCGGTCTAAGACACTCGAAAAAGTTCCTTAGAACTTATGACCGAGAAAAATCAAAGGTTTTCCTTGATTTAAGTAAAAACAATCTTCGGATTGTCACGGGGTTTCTAACAGGACACTGTCTCCTCAACGAACACCTCAGTAGGCTGAAACTGAGAAACAACGGCGAATGCAGATTTTGTGGGGAAAATGGGGAAACACCAGAACACCTTATCACTGAGTGCGCCGAGACGACGACCATTCGTGCCATGAACCTTGGTACGTCTGATGTCGAGGATGGAGAGCTGGCCTCTGTGGAGCCGTCTCAGATACTGGCTTTTCTTAAAGCCCTGAGACTGTATGATGAGTTATAACTCGTTATAACTCAAGAAAGCGGAACACACAATAGATCTATAAGGTCGCGGTGATTAACTCCCCTCCTAAACATTCCACATTCTACACATTACAAACGTAGAATGAAACATAGACATGCCAGAAATATCAACCACAGAAATTAAATACGCACTTCAACAAATAAAAAATGGCAAAAGCCCAGGAGAAGATCGTATTACTCCTGAAATGCTGAAGATGAGCGGAAAACCATTAGTCGATGCCGATTGTTAAATAAATGTCTGATGGAGGGTAGAATCACGGACGCATGGAAAACGCAGAAGTTGTGCTATTATACGAAAAAAAAGGAGATTATAAAAATATATAGAAATATAGACCAATAAGCCTTCTCTCGCACCTATACAAGCCCTTTACTAGGATTATCAACAACCGACTAACTACGAAACTAGATTCCTATCAGTCAATAGAACAGGCAGGCTTTCGAAAAGGTTTTAGTACCATCGATCATCTACAAACAATTAAAACATTCATTGGAAAATTAACTGATTACAATATACCGCTACATTTGGCCTTTGTAAACTATCAAAAAGCCTTTGACAGCATTGAAACCTGGTCATTTATAGCTGCAATGGAGGACGCGAAAATCGATTCCAGATATTATTCGATTAAAAATATGCGTGATAGTGCAACCTTCCAATTAAATTAGATGATGACCTCAAAACAGAAAAAAAGCACTCGGAAAGGGCGTGAGACAAGGAGATACCATCTCTCCCAAGTTATTTACACTGGCACTGGAAAATGTCTTCAAGAAATTAGAATGGGAAAATATGGGTCGAAACATCGATGGGGTAAACCTTAGCCATCTTAGGTTCGCAGACGATATTGTCTTGCTGAGCACCGACATTCAAGATCTGAACACCATGATAAAGAAGCTAAATGACCAATCCCAGAAAATTGATCTTAAAATGAACTTGAAGAAGACCAAGATCATGAGCAACAATATCCATAACATTACCGTAGACAACGTTGTATTATGTATAAAACGTAGACCACCTGGGTAAAGAGAACCAAAATACGAAGATCAAACGCAGGATCCATTTGGCATGAGTAGCATTTTGAAATATGAGCTATATTTTCAAGGATAAAAAGGTGCCCATCAGCCTAAAGAAAAAGGCTTACGACAGCTGCATTCTACCTGGGCTTACGTATGGCTTAGAGACTATGGCAATTACCCGAAAAACAGCCGAACAGCTACGAGTAGCACAAAGAGCCATGGAAAGAATCATGTTGGGAGTCACCATTAGGGAAAAAATACGGAACACCAACATACGTCAAAAAACAAAACTAATAGATATTGTTAAAAGAGTGGCAAGTCTGAACTGGCAAGTGGATATGTGGCAAGACAGGATCCAGATCGATGGCCCCAAAAAGTCATTTTATGGAGACCTAGGGAAACAACAAGAAGTGTGGACCGACGAAAAAAGAGATCGGTCGATGACATCAGAACAGTGGCAGGAAGACAATGGATAAGATTGCTTAGAGATCGCGAACTATGGAAAACCCTAGAAGAGGCCTGTATCCAACACTGGATGGAACCAGGCTGAGAAAGAAGAAGAAGAAATTTGTTGTATATTCCAAACTTTTTCATAATTGGCCAAAGTGCATCTCTGTTTACAGAGTCAAAAGCTTTTTTTAGATCGATGAATGCAACATAAAGTTCACACTGCTGTTTTTTTTTACTTTTTCCTGTAGTTGGCGGGCAGAGAATATGGAATCGACGGTGCCGCGGTTGGTGCGAAAACCCATTTGCGATTCTGGAAGGATTTTTTCTATATATGGGTGCAGACGGTTTGACATAATTTTTGCAATAATGTTGTTATTTTTTAAACACCCTGTGTACGTAAACATATTTTCCTAAAATATGGTTTAAATCTGCACTTAAACGAAACCCAAGTTCCTTAAAAATAAAGTAGTATAAAATAAAGTAGTATAAAAAAATAAAGTAGTAAAAAAAACTGGACGGTATTTTATGATGCCGTAATCTTATTCCTCAATAAAAATATTAAAATTCCTTGAATTACAGGTGATATTAGAAACTTAATGAAAAACAAGTAAGCGTGGATTTAAAGTGTAATTTTATCTCATATCTCCCATTAATTTATTGAATCAATATTTCCTTCGTTGTAAGATTTATGAAGATGGACGACCCATAAAAGTTTTCAAACCAGATATATTGCAGTTTAAAAACCGGAAATCGTCACTTTGAGGCGAGTGATTCGACAAAATGCTTCTGAAAGCAAGCTTTGCAGTTTTGTGTGCCTTGTCACTTTTGAATTGGACCAATGGTTTTAGTTATGAAGGGTAAGAAGAATCAAATAATGAATAACATACTATTACATAAAAAGTGAAAAAATAATATCGAAAAACGGTACCTTTTAGTTTCACTCAAGGATTCAGTAAGACTGAAAAACGGCAAACGCTTGTGTTCATTTTTATTTTCTTAAATACATTCATTTGGTACAGATATCTTTCGTTGATCTCGTAAACATAAAATATCATCACCAAAATTACAACCAATTCTCCTAGGAGTATGTTGAGAATAAGCATACGAGTTACGAAATATTCTGATGCATCAAAAACAACGAAAATACCGTAGGTGGTGTGTCAGAAGTAGATATTACAGATGGGTAGATTCGGTATTTTAAAAGAGTCGGATCCGGAGTTACATTAAGCTTCATAGACCTGCATCCCATTCTAGTTTCGCCGTATCTATTCTAACCTTTAATTTCAATTTATCTATATTTTGTTTCGTATGAAGCAATCTGCGTTTAAAAGTTTTGTAGTTCGTTAGGGAAATCTGATATTTGCATTTTGCCAAATTCTTATCACCTGATATTAGTTGTTCTATTTATTTAGAAAAGGTACCCTAAGGTTCAAATTTATGACTATGAGGCAAAGAATTACGAACTTTACATACTATAAATAATAAAAGATAGTCGAGATTGCCGCATAGGGATTACTTCATGCTAGAAGCAAAATGATCGACATTTAACAGATAATATTTTTAAGAAATAAAATGACATTTTTTGTATTTATTGTATAGTCAAAATGAACAAAAGTAGAACTGACTCTATCTTCTCGGCCTGTACCAATCGGTAAAAGCTGACAATTGGAAACGCGTCTTTATACAGGATAAACAAGAGAGGTTGTATTAAAAAAAAGATTCATTTTTTTTATAATATAATTAGTTAAAATCGGCATGTTCAAAATTGATTGGCATGTGTATTTATCATAAGCAGACCTATTTACGACTTTGCTGCAAGACGTTTGTCTTGCAGCAAAGTCGCCTTGTTTAAGGGAGCCAATATTTGGACAGTTCAAAATTTCCATGGGATTACCTGTTTTCAACCACTAGTAGAAGTAGTAGAACTAGCTTTCAGTTTGGCTCGAAGTGTGAAAATATGGTTTAATTTCCACTTTAAAAGAAGGTTATCACATGTGCTGAAGCAATCTGATTGATTCAGTGACGAACAAGACGAATATACCACGTGAACGCGTCAAACACGTCAGACTGATCGGTATATTCACATTTTTAGTAAACTGAACACTATTTCTACTTTTATTCATTTTGACTGAATAATAATATAATTGAAGGGCCCAAAAGAAAAACTTGAATAGCGCCAATTTCTTAGTTTACGGACTTTACAATGTTGTAGTAGGTCTAGCTAGTCGATAAAACTGTATAAACTCTGCAGGACAATAAATTGTTAAATCCTATGATATATACCTAGTAAAAGTCTAGAATACACGGAAAGAACCTGATAACCACTAGCAGTCCAGTACTCTCTAGCGTAAAATTAGTAAAATGGCGCCTATCATGTGGAGCCTTCAATTACAAAGTCCAGTGTGGGAACGTATTTTGCTGTTCATTTTAAGTTTTGATGAAATTTTGACAGAATTGACATCCAAAACTTAAATATAGCTTCAATAGCACCCCATTTATTTCTGCGTAATATCCACTGCTTGACCTACGATACTTTCAACTTTTTTGATACATCAGAATATTTCGTAATTCATATGCTAATTGTAAACTTATTGAACAACTGTTATAAGTTTGTATACATTTTATGTTTACGAGATCAACAAAAATGTGTAAACCAAAAGCGCTGTTTTTAGGGTTCCATACCCAAAGGGTAAAAACGGAAACCCTATTCCCAATTACTAAGACTTCGCTGTCCGTCCGTCCGTCTGTCACAAAGGTCTTATCTTCACTGTCACAAAGATCTTATGAACCGTTATAGCTAGACAGTTGAAATTTTTACAGATAATGTATCTATGTTGCCGCTATAAGAACAAAATAAATACTACCAACAGAATTAAATAAATGTTTATAAATAAAAAAGTACTTTCGCTAAACATTATCTTTTAAGTAAAAATTTTACATAGAATCTTTCAAGTCCTCGGTGGCCGCGTGGTTAAAGGGTTAGGACTTTACGCTGCTATGACGTTGGAGCCGTAGTAAGGCAGGTTCGAATCCTAGTCAAGGCGACTTTTTTTTGATCGTTTTTTTTAATTCTTACATATTTTTACATATTTATTTTTACTTTTTACACATTTATTATTGATTAATACAATTTTTAGTAATGTGTTTCTTCATTTTTTTTTAAATTACTTATACGCGCTTTCAAAATTTCAGCTAAATCGGAAAAAAAGTTTATAATAATATAGTGCCTCATGTTGTCTAGATAATGAATGGTACGGAACCCATCGTGCGCGAGTCCGACTCGCACTTGACCAATTTTTCAGTCTTAATAAATCAGTCAGACTGTTTCAATGAGACTGATACATGAGAATCCTTTGTTAGATATTTAATAATTACTCGCTTTTACGCAGAAAAGTAATGCGTGTATTAGCAATGATTTTATGTTGTTGTTTCTAAAAAGTAAGGGCAGTAATAAATGCATTAGAGGTAACTAATAGTAGAGGGTATCATGTTAAAAACCTTTTAGTAATATAATAACTGGCAAACTCTCTATTTAATAATAAATTTGCATAATGGCAAGTATCGTATTCAATTTTCTCTATTTTGATAACATGTTAAGCCGCCTGCAATAAACAGAGTATACGGTGTAATAAATTATATTAATGTAAACATACAATATTATTTTATCCATGTTATATAACAGAAATAATCTTGAAAGATAAAACAGTGATCTATAAAAATATATTAATAAAAAAATATTACTCCTTAGATTCATACAATAATTATTGAAGTTTTATCCAGTCATATTTGATGCAACTTTTGAGAGCAAGATACGAGTAAATAAATAAAAAAATATATATTTTTCATCCTTTCTTAAAAAAAATATATTTCTAAAATACTTTCTAAAATATAAAATAATTTTTCTTTTTTTTAAATCGAACACCCTGTATATTATTTTTTTATTAAATGGAGAGTTAAAAAATACCCCCGGTGCCCGGTGGGGTAGAGGTAGAGCTCTCGTCTACCAATTCAAAGGTTGTGGTTTCGAATCCCACAGCCGGCATTTCATCAGTCGACTATTATTTTTAATAAAATAAAAATAGTTTGGGTACCTAGGTCGACTCCCTGATATAAAAAAAATTAAGTAGAGTAACTAGAGAAAGAAAATGTACCAGAATGTAGTAACCTTGTGAGTCAGTCACCTCCATGACATTGTATATACGTGTGTTTATGAATAAATCGTTAAATTACATTCGTGTTTTAGTTACATTTTATCAGCTTAAGAAAATTATTCCTTGCTCGGATAAAATGCTGCCTAAAACACTTATACACAAGGTGCATCTCAAAAGTGACTCACCCCTACTCACAACTTTTTTATTTCTTCAGATGAAAAAACGAGATTTGGTATATTAGTATATGACATAAATTAGGATTGATTGGCGTTTTCAATTGTTTTCAGTCACTTCCTGTTTCACCGGAAATGACTACAACTTTTGACATTTAAATAGCACTCTCGGTATTTTATTACTTTATTCAGTAGAAAATGACATTCTGAATAGAACGACATATCATATGTCAACTGTTGACATTTCCGGATATGGTTAATTTGAAATTGTAACATACGGTTCATAACGACAATTTGACTGGAAATACCAAATGTGTGGTACCAAATTATTCGTAAAAAAATGCTGTTTCCAAATATGCTAATGAGCCATCCTTGTTCCATTTGAAAAAATTAAGATATGATTAAAAATACGATTTGAGCATTTTTTAACCGGCCAAGACACACGAAAAACATTAGACAATCAAATCTATTTTTAACATAGCCCATTGTACTCTAGATTGAAATTTAAAATACGATTTTATACTAAACATATGATATGTCATTCTATTCAGAATGTCATTTCCTATCGAATAAAGTAAAAATATACCGAGGGTGCCATTTAAAAATCAAAAGTTGTAGTGATTTTCTGTGAAACAGGAAGTGACCAAAAACAATTGAATACGACAAGCAATCCTAATTTATGTCACATACTAACATACCAAATTTTGTTTTTTTTATCTAAAAAAATTAAAAAGTTACAGGGGTGAGCCACTTTTGAGACGCACCCGGTATAACAAATTAATTTGGACAATATTTAGGTATAAAGTATATGAAATTGTTGCCCATGATATGACCGAAGTCCACTTCTTGAGAGAACTGGAGAAACAGGATGGTCTCGATTTCATCAAGAAAGCTCATCATCTCGATGATCCAAACGATATTGTTGTAGCTCCAAAGGACCAGGAGAATTTTGAAAAAATCTTGAAAGGCAATGGTCTGGAGTACAAAATTATCGTACAAAATGTCGAAGAGTAAGTTTTTTAAGTGATTGTTATAACTTTTTATTGTTTGGATGTTTTTAGGATTATGGAAGCTGAGAGGAAAGCAACTATTAAGCCTTTCATTGGATTGGGACACGTTACGTTTAGAAGTTACATGTTTCATCATGAAGTGAGTATAGTCAGTCAATAATACATAAATTAATATATTCAGAAATTATCGTGAAAGGTGAATCTACGCCGTTTCTGTCTAATCTAGATCTTTTTTTAAATACTGAATTAAGTCAGCAAGCAATATAACAGAATAAAATTAATTTTGTTATATCATGTTATAATACAGACTGAGGTAGTATGTAGTATAAAGTAGTATTTTAAGTTAACGTCTTATTTTTGCCTCCAGGCACAGAATATCTAGCTACAACAACCGAAGATTGAAAATTTCCATTTATATTCTGATTATGATATTGTCGCGCCATCTAGTATTTTATTTGTGCAATTTTAGCTCTTTCATTTCGAGTATTTTTCTGTTGCGTAGCTAGATATTCTGTGCTCCAGGGCTCTTCTAGACGAGACCTTCTTTGTTTACGCAGTTAGTAGTATTAGTTCCTCAATAAATGACATGTGCACGTAATCATACAAATGTAATGCCTCTTTTTAAGTATAAACTAAATTAAATTTTATATTATTATATTAAGTATTAAACTATCTATTACTTTCTAAACAAAACTCTCATTAGCTACATGCTGAAATTGCTGAATATGCGTAATGTGTCAATTCGATGAGTTGTCTTCTGTCAACAGATTTATTCTCCATGTGGCCTGATCGCTTCGTTCACTGCTTATTGGAATATTAGATCTAATTGGTAATTGGTCAAAGCTTTGCCGTCTGCACCTTCCGCAACTGGAGTCAATGACGTTCAATATACAGGGTGTCCCAGGCTGAGCATACATTAGAAGTTTCTAGAGCACTACAATATCTAGATCGGAGATTTTTTCGATTTTTTTTCGATTTTGATCGTAAATCACAACGACATCTATCGATTAAAAATATTTTCAATATGGCGGCACTTCCAGAAATACCGGAAGTTGACAGCAACTTCCTTATTTTAAATGGGTACCCCCATTTTTTATTACATACTTAAATTCTCGGCAGAATTTTATGAATTTTGATATCAGACACACTATACCTCACATTAATAATAATAATAATAATAATGTTTATTTATATATCTATTAAATTACAATGTGACAATAAATAAACATACAATAAACATAAATTTACCTCAGAAAAAATGAAACATTTTTTTTGCAAGGCATAGATTTACAACTATAAATTTAGAAAACACTTAAATTATAAATACACTCTAAAATTTAACAAACCTGTAATATGTAAAAAATACTTCCACAATAAAAAACCTCCTGAATACCAAATACATCAACATACATATAAAAAATAGAAAATAAAACAGTATTTTTTTATTACCCGTATTTGCTCTGCCTGATTGTAGAGAATGACACAACCAATATTTTTATGTCCTGATTTAACAAGTCACAATTCCAAATTGATATGAGTCTAAATCCTGGATTTCTTTGTTAAAAATTTGAATTGTTTTAAGTTCTTTAGAGTTTTTATCTCAACAGGTAATTTCGAATAATACTTCGGCGCAAGATACTCGGAGCCTTTTTGTCCAATTACTTTCTTACATCTTAGTGTTAGTAGATTTTCCGACTTTTTTCTGGTGTCATATTGATGTGATAGTTCTGTTTTTTTTAAACCTCCTTTCTGTATCAAAATAACTAATTTTAAAAAATGTAATCTGCGAACATCGAGAACATTACTATCAGAAAATAATTTATCAGATGGATACAGTATGGGCTTTTTTAGTATAATTTTTAATATCCGCACCTTTGTAAAACAATTATTTTTTTTAGATATTTATCCCCACCCAATTATTCCATAACAAATTTGTGATTGAAATAGTGCATAGTATATTGTTTTGGTTTGGTTTGGTTTGGTTTGGTTGTTATGAGATGTCTTTCGTGTAGATATTCGCGTAAATATTTAAATGTGCCCACGAGTCTACGCAATTTATTTACTAGTGTTGTTATGTGGTTGTTCCAACGCAGATGACTATCAAACATAACACCCAAATAAGAAATACATTGTTCTTCTGGAATAGTTGTTTCTTTATCTATTATAAGAGAACCCATATGTGGAAGATTATTGGTATACGAAGTAAATGAAATGTACTTGGTTTTTTTCACATTTAGTGTTAATTTATTGTACTGAAACCACTTTTTTATTTCTAAAAAATCTCTTTCTGCTATAGTTTTTAATTCCGCCCAAGTATTTGCAGAATAAAGAATTGTTGTATCATCTGCAAAGCTAATAATTTGTCTAGGACTATCAATAAGTAGTAAATTATTTATATAAAGCGTGAACAGAAGAGGTCCCAGCACGGTTCCTTGGGGCACACCCACAGAAATCTGTTCGTAATTACTCTTATACTCACCAATCTTAACTACTTGCATTCTATTAGATAAGTAGCTTTTTATTTGTTTTGACACATTACCTCGAAGCCCGCAATTCTCTAATTTTTCTTGTAATATCTCATGACTCACCGTATCAAAATCTTTTGACAGATCTACAAAGATACTTAAGACTGGTATTTTTTTATCCACGGCATTGTAAATACAAGATGAAACGTATTGTATTGCATCTTCTGTGGATTTACCCCTCCGAAATCCAAACTGCCTCTCTGATATTATTCGATGTTTGTCCAAAAACTTAACAGTTCTCGATTTAATAATTTTTTCGTAGATTTTAGACATATTTAAAGAAATTAACGAAATAGGCCGATAATTAGAAATATCATACTTATCTCCACTCTTGTAGATGGGTATAACGATACCCGTTTTTAACACCTCTGGGAAGTAACCATTGTTAAAGCTGAGATTAATTAAAAATGCTAAAGGTTTTGATATTTCCGACTTAATTTCCTTTAATGTTTCAGAATAGATTTCATCATATCCAGGTTTTTTATTTGACTTTAGCTGTTTTATAACATCTTCCACTTCGTAATCAGTAGTGTTGAATAAGTACATTGTTGATTCTAAAATACTTTTCTTTTCTTCCATGTAATTTTTAGGAACAGTAATATTTTGTAACAGTTTTTTCCTTATAGAACTAAAATATCTATTGAATGCATTGCATATGTCTTGTTCGTTATTTAAGTTTATTCCACTCTCTGTTATTATACACGTTATGCTGGATTGAGGTTTTGTTTTGTTTCGTATATTGTTAACGGTATCCCAAAGACCTTTTTGTTTTGTTACGATTTTTTTCTATTAATCTTTCCGCATACTTTTTCTTAGATATAGTAATCATTTTTTGTGTTTCATACTTCTGTTTCTTATACTTTGCCGCTATTTCAGGATTATTAGGAAACTGCTGCGTCTGTTTATACAAGTCATTTTTAGCATTTATTTCTTCTATTACTTTTTGATTTATCCAGCTTTAACGTGGTTTATTTTTCCAATTTTTTGAAACTGTATTTGTATTTTTCATGATATAATCTTTCAATTTGTTAATATAAGCATTAGTAGCCGATTCAATATTAAAAGTATTATATAAATTTTCCCATTTTTAATGGGAATTCCTTTTCCTCATTAAGTGCTGCCATATTGAAAATATTTTTAATCGAAAGATTTCGTTTTGAAACAGTAATGTGCAAAAAATCTAGACAGGGTAGTTCTATTACTACTAGATCCTACTAGATCTAGATATAGTAGTTCTCTAGAAACTTCTAATGCACGCTTACCCCTGGGACACCCTGTATATAAAACTGGCTCGTGCGCACACAAATAGTTCGTGCAATAGCATCTCGCGATTGGAATAAAATAAAATTGTAAAATTGGTGTTTTTAGTTTTTTAATAAAAAATTATCTTTTAATTTGCAGCCTCAGATTAACGATTTGATAGCCCGCAAAGAAAACTTCTTAAGTATGGTTCAAACAATTAGTTTTTCTATAATTGAAACCTATTAAGAAAAAAATCATGATTAAAAAGAAATATACAGGGTGCTTCAAAAAACAGGTGCCATCTCTCGTCGGGAGATTCCTCACTTAAAAATAAGATTTATTTTTCATATCAACATGGGCCCGATTCTGCTGTTTTGTAGCTACAGGACGTTAAAGTCTTTATTTTGTTTTTCAATTTATTATAATCTTCTCTCAAGTGCTTTTAGCGATTCGAATGAAATTTGGAAGGTAAAAGTTACTATGAGTGCTACATATTTTAATGCTAAAAAAGTGTCGACAGATTAACCAGGGCTGTGCATATGCGTTATCACTGGACTATCCGAAAAACTTGCTTGCCATTGACTTTTTTTCCTCTTACTAACAAAAGTGTATAGACCATGCTAATTTAGAAGTTGTATCTTGATATTTTGTCCATTTCGATCTCCTCGATGAGATAATAAAAGCAATTTTATTGATGACAAATAAAATTAAAATAAAAATGAAATTAATATACATATATTATTTATTTAATGTAATTTGATACTAAATTTTATTAAACTTTATAACACTGATGTACAGTGCTACCTATAGCATTTTTTTATATTTTTTTTAGAAAAATATTAAAGTGATAACCCATATGCGCGTCCCTGGTAAATATGTCGACACTTTTTTGCATTAAAATATGTCGCACTTATAGTAACTTTTACCAAAAGTTACTATACTACTAAAAGCTACTTACTAAAAGCACCTCGAAGAAAATTATAATAAATCGACTTTAAATCCTTGTAACTAGGAAACAAAGCAGAATCGGACCTATGTTAATATTATATAAGATAAATCTTATTTTTACAAGAGGACTCTCCCCACGGAAGATAGCATATGTTTTTTAAAACACCCTGTATATCAAGGTAAAAAAGTAATATCGTTATATTATTACAATGAAAGTATACCTACCGTCGTAGCAAGTGTTCTAAACCGAGTCTTTCTCAAAAATAACCAGCATCATACGGCGCCTCAATAGATTTCACACTATTACCTTAAAGCAACAGCACAACGAAGTTTTTGAGATGATTACCAGTCCAAATTATCCTAGACAGATTGGCCACTGATTTTAATTATTTTTTTAGATGAACGCTTACCTAAGAAGAGTAGCTGCTCAGTATCCCAACATAGCAACACTAGAACATTTTGGAACATCTTATGAAGGAAGAGAAATGCTACTTATCAGGTAAATAATATGAGACACTAGGAAAAATAATTTTACTAGATATCATATTTTAATTTTCATATCCTAACAATTCACAATACCTATCTTAGTATATTTAATTATCAGATTACTGTAAGTTTTACAAGGGTCAGGTAAAATTGAATAATATCATCACCTAACCAATAGAATTGACAGACGTTAAAACAGAACGAAGAAACGACAGAACATCACATGTTATGTCAGAGCAGTAGCCTGGCAAATGTGCGATTCTTCTTAATAGGCGGCCATTAAAAGCCATTAAAAATGAGCAATAAGAAAGGTTTAGGTCCGTGTTTATAGTCGCGTCTCGAAACTGGGTCTCAGAAAAGACAGGACAATATAACAGGCTTACGTTTCATCGTCCGTTACAGGCTTACGCTTACACGCGCCTTGTAAGCGTATTTTTATCGGTCTTTTTTGAGCCCCAGTTTCAAAAGGGCATTGTAAGCTAAATATAGGGATAGTAGTATGTAACCCAGCGATCAGAAGACAACAAAAGATTTGAAAAGGTCGCAGTGGAAAATAGTCACCTCATAAAATATATAAATCTATCCATCTATCATCTACTCAAATTTGTAGCGCATGACTTGTATATAAATATTTATTAAAATAGTCAATTAATATATCATTCATCTTTTCAGAGTATCCAGTGGTCCCAGTTCAAATCCAGATGTTCCAAAACCAACCATATTCATTGACGCAGGTATCCACGCCAGAGAATGGATTGCTCCTCCAGCAGCTCTCTACATTATTCAACAGTTAGTCGAGAACCCCGAAAACGCAGCATTGTACGAAAATGTAGATTGGGCTATTATTCCTTGTTTGAACCCAGACGGCTACCAATATACTCAGGAAGAGGTAAAATTTTCCAATAATTTACATTACTCAATTGGTCGTCTTCTGACAAAAGTCCTTCAAACCAATTACTAGTTATATAAACCATAGGATTATTATATATAAACCAGGATTATCGTCTGAATAATGGGTTCTGGAACTTGGTTCAAACAAGTATAAAAATCTTTTAATCTTTAAGTAAATTGGGCTTAAAAATAATAAATCGTTTATTTTTTCTTCAATGTTAAAGGTCCATCGTATGCGGTAAACACTGCAACCTGTAAAGCCTATTGTATTTCTTCCCTTTCTATGTCCACAACCCTATCCCTGTGCCCTGCATCAGCTTGTGGAGGTCTTTGATAGGATAGGAGCATAGTCGGTTCTAGCCCTGCTTTCCCAAATAGAAAGTATCGCTTGCGTTCCAGAGCCTCGCAGAGACATATTATTTGCTCTACTGTTTCAGGAGCTTTATTTCTGCAGAAAAGACTACAGAGTCTGCAGCAAAGGCTTCCTTGACGCAGGTTGAGTTAGTTCAGATAAAACTTGATAGCCATATGACTTATCAAGAGACTTGTTGTAATCTGCATTTTATTCTTTCTGAGCATTAGCAAATCTTTTCTGGTTTTAGAAATAGGTCCTTCGATTAAGGCCTTGCTATATCTATGTCCCTGTCTGTTACTCCCGTACTTTTTTCTGAACCAAACTTTTACTGCACTATGGAATAAGTATTTGGGTATCCCCAGTACTGGCTCTGGACTGCTGGACATAGCATTCCGATTATCATTGCCTTGCTAGTTCTTCGACATTTCAGTTGCCTTGGATGCCGCTATGACTCAGCACCCAGAATAGTTTAATTCTGTTCCTTTCTTCAATATCGTGATTTATTGATAATTGCAAGCTTCTCTATGAGTATAGCTGGGGTTTTGACAGATTTTTCTTGCAATTTATAGGATAGATGGTGGAGAAAAACACGCAGCATCAACGCAAACAGCACCTGCATTGGTACCGACGGCAACAGAAACTTCGACTATTACTGGATGCACTTAGGAGCTTCAAATTCCCCATGTTCTGACATTTTTGCTGGACCGGAAGCATTCTCAGAACCGGAAACAGCTGCTTTGAGAGACTGGTTCCTCACTAACAACGCTAACAACGTTGTCAAACTGTACATCACTTTCCATAGCTACGGCAGCATGCTACTCTATCCTTGGGGGTAAGTTGAATGTACTAGAACAAACAACACAAAATACGGGGAGAGGGTAAATAAAAAAATTAAAATTTTTGTAATTATTATCTATGAAGAACGAGATATCGAGGAGAAAAAATGCAAGATACCAAGTCTTGCATGCTATGTTTTTGTCTTTGTCCTGTGTAAGTCTTGCACTTGATAGTTTTGGTTGTAGTTATTCTTGGTCTTGGTCTTGCAGATTTGACGTTAATCTTGCATAAGAAACAAGACCAGGGCTAGTGATAAGCGAGATTGGCTTTGGTCTAGCGGTCTTAGTCTTGGGCTTAGCTTACTGTGCAAGACTAACATTAGATCCGCAAGACCAAGACCAAAGCCAACCAGGGGACGCATTAGCGCAAAAGCAAGACCATCATTTTTCATAGATAATAACTAAAAAAATTAACGGATTTTTTACTTACTTACCTTTTCCTCTTATAATTATTAATAAAAATAAAAATTAATAAAGGTTTCTCCGAAACTAAAAAAGAAGCTGTTTTGATATTAACAAATACCTATTGTTTCTTGTTTTAAAATTTTATTTGCAATAAAGTACTTCAATTAGTATTTATTTAAAGAATTTTTGTGTAGAAGGTGTAAGACTCTATTAAAATAGTCAATGGCAACAGCACCCAAACCAATGTAGAATGTAGAATGAGTAAGAGGGGAGGGGGTAATCACTGCGACCTTAAAGATCTATTGTGTGCGCCCCTTCCTTGAGTCATCACACAGTCTATAACCCATTATACCTCTGTTGAAGAGGGGACAGGGTATTTCCCCTCCTCCTCTGACAACAGTTCTTCCTCCGAGGGTACACACCCTTCCATGGTTGGAGTTTGGTCCTCCGTGCCGCCCTTCACAGTCGAGAAGCTTGCCTCCCGCTGAGGAACCCGTGAGGTGGAGACTGGAGAATTTGTCTCCATTTTCTCCACCTCTTTAACTTGGTCTCTCCTTAGACCTGACACCGGTGTTGTCCCGTATCTATAATAGAGGATATGTCCCTCTTTCTCTATTTCCTCCTTGGATTTGAAGTCAATTTCTATTGTGAGAACCTGACCATGACCCTCCTCCCTCGAGTTGATGACTCGCCAACTTGATGTCCCTACTTTGAAGTTCTGGCCCTGGATAAGGCTCAGCAAGTTCCTCCTCGGCAGAAAGACCGTGATGGCCGCCCCTTTAGGGATATTTTCTCTCTTCACTGCAACCAGTTCCGGCCCTTGTCAATTTTTAAGCTTAGGTGCGATTTCCACCAACCAATTCGCCGATTCTTGAAATACACAATCTATGAGGATCATGCCCACCCGAAAGTGTATCCCCGCAAAACGCAGCTGACCCACATTTTGTAGATCGTTGTGTTGCGATCCGATCGCCACTACTTCATCCAGTATAGCCTCTTCTAGATACGTTTGCTGGTCGGTAGTCAGATCAACTTCTGGGAGATCCTTTGGCAGCACCGCCAAAGTCCCTTGTCCAGCAATATCGGCAAAGCTGGTGATATGTCCCTGTTTGCCTCCCAGTGTTGGACGGCTTTCCATCCAGGCTTTTTTCTCTCCCTGCCGGAGAAGAGGTGGGAGGTTCTCGCTCCCTCTCTTGTCCTTTGATGGAGATGAGTCAGGTTGTTTCTTGGTTTCTTTACTCTTCCCTTTTCGGAGTAGTGTTTTCGCTTTTACTTCCTCTGGAGCAAGCCCTTCGTGGAGCAGTCGGAGGTCTCTCCGTGCTTCTGCTCCGCTAAGACCTACTCTCAGAGGAGCGTCTAGCCCGCCTGGTTGACCCAGGACAGGTAGACTGCCGACCGCTTATTGGGTCTAGAGGTAGGCTGCCGACCCTTGCTGGAGAAGGTGGTAGTTTGTGGCCACTTGTGGAGGATGATCCCAATGTAGTTTCCTTTGGATTTGCTTAAGATTAGCTGATTAATGCCAGATCTCATAGTGTTCCTAGGAGTCGCTGGGGATAGTCGGTCCACTTCTACAGAGCCCCGCATGTAGAAGTAAGAGGTAAATACAATGGGGTGCTCCCTGATGCCCCAAGGTTGCGGCCAGTAATGGCTAGTCATCTATCTAGCCACGCATCCCTTTGACCTGGTCCCGCCATCGTAGGATTTAGGTTTTTGGTGAGGTTGTCCCCTCTTGGTCCAGGCGGTTAAGCCAAAACCTCCCCACACCCTCTACCCGCGAGACATGACCACAGTCAGTAGAGACACCCAAACCAAGACTACTTATTGGAATGCCAAACCAACATCTTGCATTTGCTCATCACTAACCAAGACCAGTCTGTAGTACTTATATCAGACATCAGCAAATGTAAAAATTTTGATATTGGCAAAACATCAATATTTTTAAAAAATCGATTTTTTTAATCACTCTATTTAACAAAAAAGCGAGTTGCTCGCATTATACATTGTGTAATGTTGTGCCTTTGTAAATATTTACCTATTAATTATAAAATAAATTAAAAAAAATAAACCTATATAATTAAACAATTGCAAAAGAAAATTCTCTTTGCATACAGTTACGATCGCATAGTGCCTGATGACGAGGAAGATCTACTACAACTTGGGAATTTGGTAGCAGAAGCAATATACAACGCCAACACGTTGAGATCTGAATACATAGTCAATACGTCAGCACTGGCCTTGTATGAAGCTGCTGGAGGTAGTGATGATTGGGTTAAAGCAGTTGGTGGAGTTGACTTGTCATACACCATCGAACTACCATATGGAGGTACATATATTTGTTAAATCATAACATATTTATTATCTAGCTAGATATCTAAAAACAGAAATTCACTATAACTCCAAGATAGAAAGATAGGGAGAATCATGTGCGCATATAAAAATTTTCTTGTATCATGGTGCCCGTCATGTTGGCACTTAGGTCTACACTGGTACTACTTAGTAGGGTTTCCAAACCGGGGTCCTGGTGTACGTTTAATCCCGAAATCCCGATATTAAATCCCGGGATCCTGAAAATCTCGAAAAATTTAAATGCTCATTCTGATAAATGATTCGACTTTATACACTTTAGTCTTGCAAAAGTCATATTTTATTTATCCTAAGCAGAACGTCAATATCTAAAAGTTATATTTCCGTGTTTGCTATATTTTATTTATTTTTTCAACAAGAACTGATTTTTTTAATCACTAAATATGAATGTTACTTTATTTTGTCTATTTTAATAAAGCTCTTCTAGTATTTCCTTTTTGATTATATGTAGCTGCATTTTTATTAAGCATTTCTTTAGATTGAATTTCTTATTCTCATAGACAATGCCGGAATCCCGGAATTATAGGTTCTATAATTCCGGGATTTTAGAACGGGATTCCGATCCGAAATTGAAAACCCTAAAATACAGGGAATATCAATAAGTTATAATCACAACTGATAAACTAATTTGTTTGAGTTTAATTTCATCTTTTGTCACATTGTTATGCCGAATTTTTAGTTTTTTTGAAATTAGTTTCGCATGTATATAATTTGTTGGTATTTATTCGGACTTATTGACTGATTCTTGTATTCTTCTGAACAGTTTTTACTTTTTCATGTATAATAATTTAAAAATTAGTAAGTACTCAGTTTAGTCAATTTTACTATTCTTTTAGTGTTTTGATCATGGCTCGTTGTTCTCTAAAATTTTAAGAATAATGATCTGTTCAAGCACGAAAATAAAATAAGAAATTCTTAATTGTAATCTCTCAAACAATTAAATAAAATAAGAAATATGCATTTACATATGCCAAGTGCGCTAAAGTATAATAAAACTGACTTTAGTATAAAAAAAAAAATAATAAAAAAAGAAAGTATAATAAACTGAACGATTGTTTAGAGCAATTAAAGATGACTAAAACTAACTAAAGATGACCATCAATAAACTTTAATCACTATTACTTTCTGACATCGCCTTATAGGCCTAAACGTAAACATAGCGGTTACCATGATTAGAAATTCTGCGCACGTTCATACTCATTCTCCCTAACTGTATATCTCTGACAAGCGCACTAAACGAAGCTCATTTTCTCTTATTCTATATTTATGGATACCACTCAGTTTTAGGCGAAGAAAGCACAATAACCCATAAACTAGATTTTATAACCCATAGATTTATTTGACCCATAGGATTATTTTTAACTATATTAAGAAAAAAGCTGATATTAAATATGCTGTGGTTAAAGTCAAAGAAAACTATTTCACACACACTTGAATTTACGTTTATTTCAGATTCACCGTTGCCTTTTATGAATCCTGCATATCAAATTCTACCTACCGTTCAAGAGACGTGGGCTGGTATAATAGCATTCCACGACTTTATAGAAGAAAGATTCTGGACAAATTTAACTACCATATTACCATCAATCAGAAGGCAAAGTTAACTAAAATTTATTTTAAAGAACCTTATACTTAGTATGTGATATATTAGAAAAATAATTCTTAATTTACTTGTTTCTACATTGTTTTGTTATTATCTAATTAAGTTTCTTTTTCTAAATAAACTCTATGTATAAAAATATTATTGAGATGTTTTATTTAAAAATGTACTTTAAAACTTTTACATTCCATCAATCATGTCACATAATTCAAATAAAAAATTACCAACATTAGCGCTACATTTTTACAAATTACGTAGGTATACACCAAGTATATTCAGTAGAAACTCAATTATCAACTTTTCCACTAATTTTTTTTCTATGCGGTATCTAGCTATTTTGACTATACACTAAATTTTAAAAAAACAGCTCTATATAGTTATATTAAAGTTGCTTTAAAGCTACTTATAAGCCCACAATTTCTCTATAAGTCTTACAATTAAAAAAATACTCCTATTATTTGTTCTAGCTACGACTATCTGATCCCTGATGATGCAGACGAACTTCAGGCCCTAGGAGATTTGGTAGCAGAAGCCATTTATGGTGCAAACACTCTTAATTCCTCGTATTATGTGGCCCCATCTGCTATTGGGCTTTATGCGACTGCTGGGGCTAGTGACGATTGGGTTAAAGCAGTTGGCGGAACGGAATTGTCTTATACTGTCGAGCTACCCTATGGTGGTAAGCACTATTGTCAACATCATTATCATATTTAGTTTCGTGCGTTCTTTCGTTCCACATTGTTCTTGTTTGTTTTCCAATAGTGCAGTCTTTCTGTGTTTTTTTATATTTTGCCAGTACTTTTCGCTCGACCATTGTCATTTGATCAGTGATGAGTGCACATGTGCACGTGAGCCTTCAAATTTCATGCCCCTTCTTGAGAAACAAAAATAATTTATATTTATCATTCTCTTATTGATTCTATTTATTCCAAAAAATATTGTTTATACACTTAAAATTAATACAGAAAAACTTCGGCGAATTTCTTATCTGGCGTTGAGGCGTAAACCTATCCAATACTTTCTAAACAAAACACTCAATAGCTATATGAGGAGCTATTTTTCAAAATGGAACAAGTCCATTTTTTCGATATTTCAGGTAAAGATGGCGCTACACTTTTGAGACTGTACTGTATTTAACAGCAAACATTTTAGCTTTCAAATCGAGACAAGTCCCTTGCAAATAGATATGCGTTTCGACGTATATTTTACAAAATGCAACAAGTCCATCTAGTTGTATTTTTCAAAGCGCAACAAGTCTCCACTTTGTTTCAAAATGTAACAGGTCCGAATACATATTTTAGTTGTTAATTCGTAACGATCGAGTAGACAAGTAAAAGTTATTGCAGTGCTATTTCTAAAGCTTTGTCGAAAAATGGATGCCGAAAAACCCCGAAATTCTATGTTTGGACTGAGAACGTTGCTGGTCGAGGATCCAATGAGGTTGGATCAGCGCTACTTCATTTTCTTAGACATGCTCAGTTCAACGAATCAGTGAACAAAATCCGCTTATTTTGTGACGGGTGCGGAGGACAAAATAAAAACAGCCTGCACATGCTCATGTCACGGCACATGAAACAATCATGTACTGGCTTCATAAAGCCCCATTTCACACTTCGCTCCTTCGTCCCTTCCTCGCGTTACTTCCTCGCGTTCCTTCGTCCCTTCGCTTCCTTTCTTCGTCCATTCGATGCTTGGAAATTAGTCAATTATGCAACAACACACCACAAAATATTTTTAATATAGCAGCTACATGTTTATTACGAAATATCTAGTAACCTCTAAAATTTTTAAAAAATCCGAAAGGCACATAATTTTTATTTTATAAGACTGCAATTCTTTGTCGTGTCAAAAATAAAAATTGAATTTTAATAATATTTTTTATTTTTGTCGCTACGATTACATAAATATGGACCTGTATTTTTTCACAAATATGAAGACAATATTGTTTTTTTCTTCCATTTTTTAGACTATTGTGTGAATTATTTTTATATCGACTGGCGATTGCTAGATGAACAGGATGTCCCATTTTTGTGTGTTTTATGGGGTTTCTGGTTTATGAGTAGAGATATAAAGATGCTGTTTTCACATCATTGTTCTACTTATTATGAAACTAAATATGCTACACACATATTTTTTATCCTAGCCTTCTTAGTTCAAAGTTATTTCTTATTTCTTTCTTTTACTTTTTATTTTTTAATTAGTAGAAATTTTTGCATTTTTCGATAACCTTTGTATCTCGATTATCTTATAACTTATCGAAAAGGTGAAAAGGGTCAGTGATGGGCGATGGGTAAGTACCCAATATAATATCTACAATATACCTACTTATATAAGAAATATTGTAGATATACTCGTATTCCTGATATTACTGGTATTATACCGGGTATTTACTATGCGGTCGTTGGAAATCCCTTTTATAAAATTAGACTGTTCATCTAAATGTACAGGTATATACCGGATACCCTGTTTTTTTTTGTTCTACCTATTGAGTACTTACCCACCGCCCGTGTCTCGTTTTTCAGGTAGAATGGCAATGACGAAAGTGGTTCTTCGTTGGGAGCGGTCTATTTCGAAAAATGACAAACTTATGTTCTTTTTTTTAAACAGGACACTCTATATATTATTTTTTATTTTATTTGCCTTGTTATGAGCTTTCGAAAATTATAATATACTCTATATTTATTTATTTAGGTACTGCTAAACTGCTAAACGGCTCTTATTTTATTTAACTTAATTTTACCAGATAATTTTGCTTTGCATCGTGATATTCATCGTATAAATAATGCATTTTTACCCCGTTTATGAAAATAAGTATTTTAGAAAGCCCGTAACAAGGGAAATAAAATAATGTACAAAATATCGCATTTAAAAAAACATATAAGTTTTAGTCAATTTAAAAAAAAACAGATTCCAACCAAGAAATAGTTACGTCACTGCATTCTACGTGAAAAACTGTACGGGAGACCGTTTTCACCTTTTCGATCAGTTATGATACAAAGGGGATCAAAAAATGCAATAATTTCAGATTCGCCCTGTATTTTAGGAAGTAAGAGAGCTAGGACATATCTGTATGTAGCATCTTTAGTTTCATAAAAAAGTAACAGCTTAATGTGAAAACCGCATCTTTGTATCTCGACTCATAAACGAGAAACCCTGCAAAACACACGAAAATGGGACACCCTGTACAGACGTACTGCCAAGTCAAGAAATCAACTACGAATGAAATGCAAGATCGATTTATATATTTTATATATTTTAATATTTTTTTGTGTTTGTGATAATTCCTTTGCTACTTCGTCCAAAAACCGACAGTACGGGGAAGGAGCGTGTCGAGGAATTAAACGGACGAAGGAGCGTTTTGACGAAGGAATGAAGGAACACACCTCGGAACACACAGTCGCATAAAATCGACATTTCCCATAGTAAATATAAGATTTTTGGACGAAGGAACGCGACGAAGGAAGGAAGTGAAGTAGCGATCGAAGTGTGAGTATGGGGCTTAAGGAATCTAAAATCCATATTAAAGATATTGAAATAGTTTTTCCCGTGCGAGGTCATTCCTACTTGCCTGCTGATCGAGTCTTCGGGCGAGTAGAGAAAGAATTACGCAGACATGACAGAATTATTTTACCTTCAGATTATACTGATATCTACAAAAAATTTGGAGAGGTTTTTGAGTTGGAAAAGGACTGGCGTGTGTACGATTTGAAGGGTCTACTCACGATATTTCAGAAATACCACGGGATAAGCGAACAAAAAGTTGTTAACATAAAAAAAATTGAGTCGTGGTAAAAAACAGCAGCATGTAACAGTAATTTCTCAAGTATTTTATAGAAATAAAGACCCTTCAAAAAAAGAACAAACCCTTTTAAAAAGAGGGAAATCTTTAGCGGGTGTTTCACTGAGTCTGTTATTGGATGAGCACAAAATTTCAGCTGATAAAGGAAAAGCGGTAAATAATCTTTTAGTTGCGAGTTTTGGAGAAAACTGGCGATGGCATGGCGCCTAGAAAAAAGTTTGTCGTGGTATTTCGAACTATTGATCAGTGACTTTCGAAACTCTGAAAATAATAATCCAGATGATGAAGCAAATTGCGACTGTATCCCAGGAGAACCTGAGTTAAAAACTTAATTAACTATGTTGTAAATTCGTTCTTTGCATTATTTACTTAAATTTTATCATTGTTCATTAATTTTAAAAATATATTTTATTCAAAACGTAACTAGTACAGCGTTTTCTTTCAACACGAAACAAATCCATTCAAAAAACGGTGATAGTAATTTCTAAAACCTACTCTGATTTATAAAAATGACTATTTTAAGAAAAGTACATGATTACCTAACCAAAAAAAATTTTTTTCGCTGTCTACGAATTGTAGAATCGACGTACCAGTTATACTGTCATAGCCAAAAAATTTAAAAATGGACTTGTTACATTTTGAAAAATAGCTCCTCATATGCTCAAAATGCGTAACGCACCAATTCCACACCTGCTCTCATCTTTCATCAGATTTAGACGCGATACTCACTATAACCGTTGATTGGAGCAATAAGAAGACGCGCAAACTTATGGGCGATTTCGTGGCACAAGACCTGCTCGAGATGTAGCTGGCGTTACCGTCAGCCTGTCTGAGAACTAGTTTAGCTCTGCGCCGCTGCGCGCTGATAGTCGTTTACAGCACAGCGGATAAAGAATACTGTACCGTAGCAGACCGTAGTTCTTCTTTCAGTTGAAAGAGTGAGCGATTGCCGGAGACAGTGTTGCCAGAACTACTGATTAATCCGTAGATTAATGGATTTTGGGGACCCTACGTTAATAATACGGAATTTATATCATTAAACAATTTGATATAATGATATATGATTAAACAAAGAACGGCGTATTGATAGCCCAAAAATGGTAAAGACATTCATAGTATGCATCACGCAAACCAATTTTTTACAACACTAGATATATATTTGACTAACAAACAGAGTAAGTTTTTTAAATTTCTGCCACACACAAAATATTGAACCGCCTGCCACCACTGCATCTCACTAATAAAAGGAGAAGACTAAGCTTCGTTTACTCGATATTTTTACCTACAGTATCTGATATTATCTGCTGATGTTTACATAGTGCAATCAGTCATTACCGATTTACGAATGTCACAGTGTCTCGCTAAAGCATTTATTATTTGTGTTCATTTACAGTCAAAATCATGATGTGAATACTCATTGCCAATTGCTAGTAATTACTTACCAATTACTGGCAAAAAAAACTGGCATGCATACTGCCAATATTACAACCCAGACATTAATAGGTACTCAAATTTTTATTATAATTAATTATTAATTTTATGTTTTTTTTCAGATTCCCCATTACCTTTTCTGAATCCAGCAAGTCAAATAATACCAATAATTGAGGAAACTTGGAAAGGCATCCTAGTATTTCACGATTATATTGAAGAAAAATTCTGGACTAGTTTAACTAATATAGAATAAAATAATAGAGTTCTTAATATTTTTAGTAAGAAAATGAACAAGAATCTTCCCCTTGAGATTATTTAACTTGATAGTTACCTTACCTTAAAGCAAAATAAAAACACTAAATCACCACAATACACCAAAACACTTTTACTTTTACACTTTTCAGTGTAAAAGTAAAAGTGTTTTGGTGTATTGTGGTGATTTAGTGTTTTTATTTTGCTGTGTTACACTGAAAAGTGTAAAAGTAAAAGTGTTTTGGTGTATTGTGGTGATTTAGTGTTTTTATTTTGCTGTGTAACATCAAAGGTTCCAACCCTCAACTGTAATTTACATTACCTTATTCATTTAAAGAATTAGTCTATTAAAAATAATATATTTGTAAAAAATATTGTTTAGATGTTTTATTTAAAATGGCAATTCAGATCTTTTGTATTTTTCATACCTGAGTTAGTTTTTTTCCTATATTTTATACTGGGTGGCGCACCTCATTCGCCTCGATTAAATATACAAAAACGGGAAAATGTAGAAACAAAACATTTTATGGGTATGTACTCGTATGTGGTAATGTGCAAAATTTAAAATTATTTTGATATGTACAGGGTGTGTCAGAATTAAGATACATACCAAAGTTATATTTTTTTTATAGAACACCACAACCGGTATTTTATTCCATTTTTGGATCATTGGGCATAAAATAAGACATTTATTATAAGGCCTGGAATAAGCCTTGGTTTTTGAGATATTTTAATATGCATGTTATAATAAAAAAGACTGTGAACATCCTGTACATTACTTTCCAAAATTAATTCTTGTGCTGACTTTTAAACCAGAGAAATAAATTTTACTAAAATTTTTTATTTCTTCCTTATATGTATACAGAGGTATTAAAAATTGCTAGTCTATTTTAAACATTTACTTTACATAAAAACTTCGTTATTTTAACTAGAACATCTGTATTTTTTTAAATAAGTTGAAACAGATTTAAATGTTCTTTCAAACTATATTAGGGTTTCCTATAATTATACGGCTCAGATTTTGAATAAAGAGCTATTTTTCAATAAAATGGCAACCAAGAGGACTAGTGTAATCACGGCAATTTTCTATTGACAATTAGTAGCTATTTTCAAAATCGAAATTAGTTTATGGACATTATTTAAATTTGTAGCTGTTGACTTTATTTAATTTACCTACACTAGTTTAGTAAATACGTATTCGTTATTTTATCAAGAATAACGAAAAAGTAAGTAATTATCTGCTATATTTTATGATGACTTGTTGATACATTGGATTTTCTATAAAAGAGATTGGAATTACGGCAAATTCATTTTCTTCGCTTCCAGCGACAGGTTTCTGCCTAATAGATTTTTCATAAACCACACTATCAGAAGCGAAATAGGACAAGTAGTGTTTCAAAGGAACGCTTACCAGGAGGATTTTTAATTGGATATCTTTGAGCACCACTCAGGCCAACAAGCAATTTTTCTCTCAAAATAAAATCATAAGTAACATATTCATTCCTTAGGCCAACAGATACTGCTTTATTTTTCTTTATAAATACTTACTTATTTAGCTGTTGTAGGTAAATTAAATAAAAGTAAGCTGATATAAAATTACATAAATCTACCGAGGCGAATGAGATGCACTACCTGTATATAGTCTATCCAACGAAAGGATACATAACAGTGACCACAAACAGTGACAAAACCTTTCTAGGTTTTGACAATTGTGGTAGGTTTATTTCTTGAAAAGACTTCTGTCCCAAACACGCCACAAAGGTTTAGATTTAACTCTATGGTTTAGATTATTGATAGTTGAATTCGCTCATTTTAATTGACAGTTAAATTATATTTTCTCTCATTTTTCTGTCAAAATTTTTCCTGACTCGTTAGACCACGTTAGACAAACTAATATTCTAGAAATTTGAAAAGAAATCAGAGTTTTTCTCACAAGAGTAAATCTAAATATAGGATTATTTTTTTATTATACCGGGTGAGTCTTAAATAAGTACAAATATTTTAGGGGTAGTACATTTCGACCCCAGAAATACCATTGAGACTTTTTTGGGAAAAAAGAATTTTTGGAAATTTGGTATTTTTTGACAATTTTTTTGGAATTCTTTATAGTTTCTAGTCAAAAAACATGATTTTTTGATAATATGGCAACATGAGAAATATATTAAATTTACAAAAAGGAAAAAAATTAGGCAAAAAATAAGCAAAAAATATTTTCTTTTTCAAAACCGGTAAAGAGAAAATATGTTTCTTTTGTCGAGATCAACTAGCCCTCAAAATATTTGCACTTATTTAAGACTCACCCTGTATATAGCCATATTTCATGAATACCTTACTTAATACTTAACTGTAATTGTTGGATACGCACGAAAAAAGGTAAAAGAGATAAAAGATGTTAACGTTGACAGTGCGAATTCTCCTTATTTTTATTATTTGTTAGAATTTACGATTTCGGCAGTTCACTGTATGCAGTCCCTGCTATTTTTAGAAAATATCGATTTTTTTCACTTCCCTTCGCTCTTTGACCGCCGGAATACCCATAGTTTATAAGTTTTTATTCTTTTTAGAATTAGTCGAGTTTAGTTTTGTATTGAAGACACTTCTCTGTATTATTTTGTCGGGCGTACGCACTTTATTAATATAATATTTTGTTATTTGTACCGAAAGTGTTTTAATTAACCGAATCTAAGTTTATTACCTAAAGAAAATCGGGTAGGTTTTCTACAGAGTGATGTAAAATTATTGGCGACCGTGACAGGACTTTCGGTAATTAAAGAGATACGCAGTGACTATAAGGGAGGTGTCAAATATTTCTCGGAGTTTATTCAAAATGGAAGTGAAGAAAAAATATCGCGGCGCGTTGCGCAGTAGTTTCACGAAGTGCGCGAATGACCTTGAGCTTTTGCTAAAAGCCGAGAATGTTGATTTTCAAGCAGTTAATGTGTGCTGGGAAATGTTGTGTGGTAAAAACGAAAGTTTGGAAGTGGCAAATAATGAGATTTGCAGTTCTTTAATGGAAAATCCTGAGACAACTGAAGCCGAATTAACTGCCGACATGGATTCGACGGACGTCTACAAGAAACGGTTCGTAGATTTGAAACTTCGCCACCATAGCCTACAGCAGTCAGAGGGTACGACGTCACAAGAAGAAGAAGGTGCTGATGCTGGTGACCAGGTATCTGTAGTGGGTAGCAACGTCTCAAATCAAGCAGGTAGGCGAAAGTTTAAATTACCAATAATTGAGTTGACCAAGTTTGATGGCAATATTCGTGAATGGCTGCCATTTTGGGGTCAGTTTAGCAAAATCGATTCGGATTCGGATATTGATAATAACGATAAGGTCCTATATTTGATACAATCAACAGTGCCGGGTAGTAGGGCTAGACAGTTGGTCGAAAGTTTTCCTGCGATCGGCGAAAACTATGAAAAAGTGGTGAATGCTTTAAAATCGCGCTTCGGTCGGGACGACCTTCAAATCGAGGTGTACGTTCGGGAGATGCTCGGACTGATAATAAATAACGCGGTTTCTAAGAGTAAAATGGATTTGTCATCTTTATACGATCGGATAGAAACGCAGTTGCGCGCATTAGAAACGTTAGGGGTCGCGTCGGATAAATGTTCGGCGATGTTATTTCCCCTCATAGAATCGTGTTTGCCGTCGGAATTATTGCGCGTCTGGCAGAGATCGCAGGTCAATCTTCCAGCAAATCCATCTATGGAAACTCGGCTTGAAAGTTTAATGCAATTTCTTAGGGGCGAAGTAGAAAATGAGCAACGGATAATTTTGGCTACTCAGGGTCTAGGGCTTTCTAGTGCATCAGGAAAAGATTCATCAAATGCAAAAAATTCGAAATCTTCCGAAACAAGGTTACCTACCGCTGCCGGTTTAATGAACTGCGATGTGACAAAATGTATTTTTTGTGATGGGGCGCATGCTAGTGAGAGTTGTTTCAAGGCGCAAAAGTTTTCAATTGATCAAAAGAAAACAGTATGCAAAGAGAAAAAGGTCTGTTTTAGATGCCTTAAGTTTGGTCATTTGTCTACAAGATGCAGATCTAGATTAAGGTGTATCGTTTGTGGCCGAGCTCACCTAGCCTTAATGTGTCCAGACATTTCTGTAAATAAGTTAAGCTCAAACGGTTCTGTCAATCCTGATAGGGACGATAAAAAGGCTAAAGATACCGCAGAGCAAACCCTTACAAACAATGGGAACTGTTTGGTGTTTTTGCAAACTTTACGGGTAACCGCAAGGTCAGAAAATGGATCTCGTGAGATACGCGCGCTCATAGACACCGGGTCGCAAAGATCGTATCTATTAAAATCTACTATTACGCAGTTGGGATACACCGCCAAAAGGGAAGAATTGGTTGCACATGGGCTCTTTGGAGGAGTTGTTACACAGGTACCACACAAATGTTATGATATCCGACTTCGTCATGAAAATTATGCATGTAAATTTGAGGTGTTGGATCAGCAGGTTATTTGTACCAGTGTTCCTGCCATAGGATGTGGACCTTGGATAACTGAGTTGGAAGAATTAAACATTGAGATACATGGTACTCAAGATTCTTCACCCATTGAGTTACTAATTGGTGCCGATGTAGTTGGAAGACTTTATACAGGGAAACGGCGTGTATTAAAATGTGGTTTGGTTGCCATAGAAACACTATTAGGCTGGACGCTTTTGGGCAAGGTCAACGATGTTAAAGCTGCAGAAGACAAATCGTGTTCCAGTTTGGCAGCTACAAGTTTATCGTTGTTGTTGAATGATACTTACCTAACCAACCTATGGGAACTTGATACATTGGGTATTACTGAACCATCAGAAAGGAAATCGAGAGAAGAAAGGGCTGCAGCAGCTATACAATTCTTTAAAGAAACCGTGACACTGAATGCTGAAGGTCGATACGAGGTGCGACTTCCTTGGATAGAGGGTCACCGTCCATTGCCTTCAAACCGGAAGATTGCTGAAAGGAGATTACAGTCAACCTTGAAGAAATTGAAGAAAGACAATCTTGTGGAGTCTTATGGAGCCATTTTCCAAGAATGGTTATCGGAAGGTATAATTGAACCGATACATATTGATAGTGGTGTCAGTGAAAACGGGCATTATCTTCCTCATCGGCCGGTCATTAAGGAAGATTCGACAACCAAAATCCGGCCTGTGTTCGATGCATCAGCAAGGGAAATTGATAGTCCATCCTTGAACCACTGTCTAGAAAAAGGTGAGAATTTGATTGAATTAATACCAGCTCTTTTACTGAGGTTTCGAGAAAATTCTATCGGGGTTGTGTCAGACATTCGAAAGGCCTTTCTGCAGATAGGTATTAATGAAAGAGACCGTGATTTTTTGAAATTTCTCTGGGTGGATTCTGAAGAAAACCTTATTGTGTTTCGCCATAGACGTGTCGTTTTTGGAGTGAACAGCAGTCCATTTCTGTTAGGGGCAACCATTGAACATCACCTCGCCAATTGTTTGGAAAATGTTCAGAACGGAAATACTAAATACTCTCTAGACACGATTAAGAAGCTAGAACGAGGATTTTATGTAGACAATTGCGTTGTTAGTGTTCCAGATAAGACTTCTTTATTGAGATTTATACAAGAAGCTACCGAAGCCATGAGGGAAGCTAATTTTGAACTAAGAGGGTGGGAGTTCAGCGATGAAAATAACGATGAGACAGCTATGGTTCCGTTGCTTGGTCTTAATTGGTATTTGGCTAGAGATGTAATAAAAATTAGTGATGGATGCTTGAGGAGCAGCTCGAAATTTGATGAAATGGTTATAAGCAAAAGATTAATACTATCTATGGCACAAAAGGTATTTGATGTCATTGGCTTCACCTGTCCTACAACCTTGGTGCCGAAATTACTACTTCAGAAGTTATGGGAGAAGAAATTGACCTGGGATGAGACAGTTGACGCTGATACTGAACGACTTTTTCGAGAATGGTTTAGAGGGTTACCACATTTAAAGGAAATAGAGATTCCTCGTTGGATGGGTACTGGTACTGAAGAAGTAGAACATCTTAGTTTACATATTTTCTGTGACGCCAGTAAAGTAGCATTTTCTGCAGTTGTGTTTTTCCGAGTGGTCCGGAATAGTACAGTAACTGTTCATATTGTGGCAGCTAAATCAAGAGTTGCGCCCGTCCGTAAATTAACAATACCGAGACTTGAATTGTTAGCAGCTGTAATTGGTGCCAGATTGTATGAAAATGTGAGGAAAAATCTACAAAGTGACGCAGAATCATATTTTTGGACCGATTCATCAACTGTTTTGTCATGGATTCAACGTCAGGAAGAATGGGGAACATTTGTTTGTAATAGAGTATCAGAAGTTCGCTCATTGACGTCCTCCAATTCTTGGCGACACGTACCAGGGGATTTGAATCCAGCCGACCTTCCTTCTAGAGGTTGTTCACCTAAACAACTTGTTGAATCCAAATGGTGGGAGGGTCCGAGGTGGCTGTACTATGAACCAAATTTGTGGCCTAACCAGCAAATAGAGTGTGATGAAGCAGAAGTTGCACAGGAACGCAGGAAGAAATTAATTGCGCTGGTGAATAATGACAACGATTTCTGGCATCTGTCTTACTTTTCCAGTTTTTTGAGAATTGTCAGAATGATGAGTTGGATTCTGCGATTCATCCACAATTCAAGGAAGCCAGTTCAAAGAGCAACAGGGGACTTGACTGTTGAAGAAATTGAGAGAGGAGAAAAGCTTATTTTTGAAATCATCCAAAGTCAGAGTTTTTCGGGGGTGGATGACGTAAAGATAAAGCACCTCGACCCGTTTTTTGATGAACATAAAATAATACGCTTGAGAACGAAAATTTCGAATAGAGAAGACAGTGTAGATTTTAGATTTCCGATTGTATTGCCCTGCAGACACCCTGTTACTGAAAAGTTGATCCTGAAAGAGCATTTTGACTCTTCCCACGTTGGTATACAGGGGGTAATGAGTAAACTTCGTGAAAAGTATTGGGTATTAGGAGGACGACGAGCAATAAGATCCGCGCTGTCGAAATGTTTCATCTGTAAAAGATTCAATTCAAAATCGATTCGTGTGAATGTTCCTCCGTTGCCATTGGACAGGGTACGCGACGCCTCTGTATTTGAGGTGATTGGAATTGATATGGCCGGCCCGCTGTACCTGAAGGATGGACTCAAGATTTGGATTTGTATTTTTACCTGCGCCATCTATCGAGCTGTGCATCTGGAATTGGTGACCTCTATGTCGACACATTCTTTTATTCAGGCCTTACGCAGATTTGTAGCGCGAAGAGGACGACCTAAAACTATATTCAGCGACAACGGTACCAACTTCGTGGGCGCTGAAAATCTGTTATCCCAACTGAACTGGCAGGAGGTTATGAAATTTTCAGTTAACGAGAGAATCGTGTGGCGATTCAACCCTCCAAGTGCTCCATGGTGGGGAGGGTTCTGGGAGCGGTTGATCAGCATTTTGAAGCAGCTATTACGTAAAGTTTTGGGACGTACCAGTCTAAATTACGAAGATTTATTGACAGTAGTGTGTGATGCTGAAACGGTTATTAATTCTAGGCCGCTCACATATGTATCCAGCGATCCGCACGAGTTGATCGCACTTACTCCAGCGATGTTTTTGGTAGATCACCATGAACACGGTCTACCGGATTACGACGTTGTTGACCGTTCGTCTGTGTGTCGGAAACTACGTTACAAGCAAAAGTTACGAGACGATTTACGCCGTAGATTTCGTAATGAGTATTTGGGACAGTTACGAATGTTTTATGAGGGGAAACCGCGCGGTTCGTTAAAATTGGGTGATGTAGTTTTAATCGGGAATGACCAAGACAAACGTATGGACTGGCCGCTCGCGCGCGTTGTTGATCTTATACCGAGTAAAGACAAACAAGTTCGTCTAGTTCGGTTAGTGACGTCTAAGGGGCAGCTATTGAGACCCGTCCAACGTCTTTATCCGCTCGAGTGTGTTGATTCAGCGGTCCAAGGGGATGGGGTAGAAGACGTCATCGAGCCTTCAGAGGATGCAGTAGAGCCTCCACAGGAGTCACACCTGCCAGGTTTGCTCCCAACCGATGAGAGTGCAAGTGCGGGAGTGTCTGTTGAAAGCAGAGTACCCGTAAAAGTTACGCGTAGTGGTCGCATATCAAAACCGCCCTTTAGATTTTCTGTATGAATCTGAGGCGATATAGGTTAGAAATAGGATTATTGTTAAAATTACTAATGTTTGTGTTTTTAGTCTAGTATGCATTTATTGAAAAATTCTTGACTGCAAAGTGGTTGATAAGCTTTTTTGTTTGTATCTTTCTTTTCTGAAGTTTTTTGTGAGTTACGCTAACTTGAACGTTATCGTTCCTCAGGTGGGAGGATGTTGGATACGCACGAAAAAAGGTAAAAGAGATAAAAGATGTTAACGTTGACAGTGCGAATTCTCCTTATTTTTATTATTTGTTAGAATTTACGATTTCGGCAGTTCACTGTATGCAGTCCCTGCTATTTTTAGAAAATATCGATTTTTTTCACTTCCCTTCGCTCTTTGACCGCCGGAATACCCATAGTTTATAAGTTTTTATTCTTTTTAGAATTAGTCGAGTTTAGTTTTGTATTGAAGACACTTCTCTGTATTATTTTGTCGGGCGTACGCACTTTATTAATATAATATTTTGTTATTTGTACCGAAAGTGTTTTAATTAACCGAATCTAAGTTTATTACCTAAAGAAAATCGGGTAGGTTTTCTACAGAGTGATGTAAAAGTAATGATCATAGCTATTTACATTACTTATAATATTGCTGCGTAATCTATATCAAGTGTAAAATACAGAGTACTTACATATCGGCTACTTTATATTATGAAGATAACTAGTAAAGTAATAAATTTAATTTTGTTGATAATAAGTAAAAATATTACAAATATTTTATATAACATATCGGGAAATATAAAATAAAAACGAACAGTAATCGATCGGTATTAAAATAATTTATTGATAGCAGTATATAGGAATAATTATTTATAACCTGGGTAAAGCTGTTAAAAAGTCAAAAATCCATTTTTTTTCTATTGTAATCGTCTTAAAAATGTATTGAAAGTTTTATAAATATATATAACAATTTATTAAAATTAATTATTATTCACTTATCCATCCATCCATACATACATAGTACCTATATAAAAGCTCAAAGGTTTTTTTTGTTGCATCCATCCCGCCGAAACCGCTTAACCAATCTTAATGATTCTTTTTTTAAATGAAAGGTATATATGTGTAGATTTGTTATGCAGTATTTTTATATTGTTTAATGGCTATTTCTTTGTGTAAAATGACTAAATACTAAAACATACCTGAAAAACACCTACACACAATACCTCCAGAAATAAATTATTATTTTTCATTGTCAGTGATGTGTCAGTTAGATTATATAAGTTTTTAGATATTTTAGGGGACAGTTCATACCGCCGGCTTTAGATACATAAATATTAGCCCAAAGGTTCGTTTAAATTACGGGGTGCCTGCTCACCAAGGGATAGAAGGCAATGAAAAAGCAAATAATCTAGCTAGGAAAGGAGCGAACACTCCACTAACTGGACCAGAACCGTTCTGCTTTCCAAGTGGTAACCAACTCAAGGCGGAACTCAAGAACTTGGAAGATTCTATCCGCAACCTGGAATGGAAATCTTGCAATGGTCTAGGACACTCGAAGAAGTTTCTGAGGGCTTATGATCAAGAAAAATCACAGATATTCCTGGGTCTGAGTAAGAACAATCTTCGGATTGTCACGGGGTTTTAACAGGACACTGTCTCCTCAATGAACACCTCAGTAGATTGAAACTAAGAAGAAACGGCGAATGCAGATTCTGTGGGGAAGATGGTGAAACACCAGTACACCTCATCACTGAGTGCGCCGAGACGACAACCATTCGTGCCATGAATTTTGGTACGACTGATATTGGAGATGGAGAACTACCCTCTATAAAACCGTCCCAGATACTGGCTTTTGTCAAAGCCCTGGGACTGTATGATGAGTTATGATTCAAGAAAGGGGGACACAATGGATCTCTAAGGTCTAAGTGATTAACCCCCTCCCACTCATTCTAAATTCTAAAATTCTAAATTAGCCGAAAGGTTCGTTTAAATTACATTACTGTTAAAATAGTTACACAAAGCGATTTTAGGAAATTCATCCTCTTAGAGAGTAAAATTATGTCGGGACAATTTGTTTTATGAAAATTCCTTACTAGGTATCTGATCTAGAAGAATGAAATCCTCCAAAAAGGAATTAGAAGAGGTTTTTGAAATTCATTAGCTAAATGAGTAAAGTTAGTAAAAATTTATATAAAACTTGGTGACCTCGGGATTGTACATATAAAAATTCGCACAAAGGATCATTTAAAAGACATGAGTTAATTATTTGGATAAAGCGAATTTATAAAATTTATACCATTAGGGATTAGAATAGTGAATGAAATTTTGCTGATTTTTGGTATACAAAGTGTGTCATAAAGTCATATAGAGGCGATGAAAAAATAAAAAACGGTTTTTAAATTTTCGGATTTTTTTCAAATACATAATAGGTATCTAATATTTAAAGAGAATAAAAATGCTCTTGAAATTGGCATATTGACGGTTTTTTATAAATTTTAAGTAAAAAATGATAATTTTTTAATGTAATAATAATTTTTTATTGTAAAAAGTAAAAAATAACAAAATCGATTTTTTGAAAGGATATACGGGCGAGTCTTAAATAAGTGCAATTATTGTTAGCGGTAGTATAATTGACCCCAGAAAAACGATTACGAGTTTTTACGCAAAATTTTTTTTTGAAAATTTGGAATTTTTTGAAAACCCTTTAGGATTTTTTTTAGTTAAAAAACATAATTTCTTGATAATATGGCAACATAGGTAGTAGATTAAATTTACCAGACAGAAAAACCCGAAAAGCTGCAGTGGTTCTCAAAATTTAAGCAAAAAGTATTTTTTTGGAAATTTTTAAAGTAAAATAACTCGGTTATTTTGGAGTTATTTGAAAAACGGTAAAGGGAAAATATGTTTTTTTTTTATCGAGATCTACCAGCCCTGAAAATATTTGCACTTTATTCAAGACTTGCCCTGTATAATACCCAGAAAATCGTCAATTGATAACTTCCATATGAAATACGAGTAGCTCTAAAACTCTTGAAAACATAGTTTAAATAGTGCATTGGTAATGCTCACTAGCTCTATCTATAAAGAAGTAAACAATCATTTAAACCAATGCATGACCGATTCGAGGTGTAACGCGAACGTAGTCGCGGGAAAAAGCTAGTCATATAAATTTGAGAAGAGAATAAAACTTTTGAATAAAATGACTTAAGAGTCCATTTCACTAGTCCGAAAAAGTAGCAAAATAAGCGTTCGGCATTTAACGTTTTATGTAAAACTGGCTATAGGCCAGTGCAAATAATTTTAAATTTGCAAAAATTTTTAGAAAGCTGCGACCATTGAAAATAGTTAGCCTTAGTAACCCTTATTTACATACTAAAAGTCCCCATTTGTCCGATGTGTGCGTCATCAAAAAAAATCGGCCGCCATCTTGAATTTTGGTACTTTTTGGGAAAAAATGTAAATAACTCGAAAATGGCGCGTTATAGCGAAAAACTTCAAGAGGTAAAAATTAAAGAGAATAAAAAACTCTATCAGAATCAATAAAGAATAGTTTATTATCCTAACGCAGTGACGTACAAATTTTTTTTTGAAAATCGAGCAATTTTTAAAAGGAATCACCGAAATGCAAATTACTATTTGTTTAAGCTTATTAACAAATAACATGGATATTTAGCAGCAATTCAACTAAAATACAGTCCTTGTGACATTTTCAAGAAATATTTATTGGTGGTTTAATAATATTTCAAAATTAACAAAAATTGTCAAAACTATTCTTTACTAAATACATGTCTACTAATAATGTGCGAAAGCAGCCTCCACCTTGTTCCGGTTGGGGCTATTTGCAATTAAACCAAGGTCTTTTTGTTACCATTTTGTAAACAACTTGTTTTTAAAAAATACAGTGACAAATTTGAAAATTAGGCTACAGAAGTTGGAAGAAAAAATAAAATGTAATAAACTATGAATTTTGGTACTTTTTGGGAAAAAATGTAATTAACTCGAAAACGGTGCGTTATAGCAAAAAACTTCAAGAGATAAAAATTAAAGAGAATAAAAAACTCTATCAGAATCAGTAAAGAATAGTTTATTATCCTAACGCAGTGACGTGCAAAATTTTTTTGAAAATTGAGCAATTTTTAAAGGGAATCACCGAAATGCAAATTAGTATTTTTTTAAGCTTATTAACAAATAACATGGATATTTAGCATCAATTCAACTGAAATATAGTCCTTGTGACATTTTCAAGAAATATTTATTGGTGGTTTAATAATATTTCAAAATTAACAAAAATTGTCAAAGCTATCCTTTACTAAATACATGTGTACTAATAATGTGGGAAAGCAGCCTCCACCCTGTTCCGGTCGGGGCTATTTGCACTTAAACCAAGGTCTTTTTGTTACCATTTTGTAAACAACTTGTTTTTAAAAATACAGTGACAGTTTGAAAAATTAGGCTACAGGCTGGAAGAAAACAATAAAATGTAATAAACTGCTTGCGAATGTCTTTTTGACATAAATATCATCTACGATCTTAAGCTAATATCTTAACACTTTTTCATTATGATAAATACATTATAAACATACCCCTACAAATTATGACCATTTTAATAAAAATGTGTTACCAACTTGTAACGTAACTTTTCAAACTGTCATCTCTAGAAAAAAAATGAAATTTACAATTTTATTCGATTTGTTCTTCATCGACCGATATTTGTTTTTTCTCTCAAGAAATACCATTATAGTTACCACACAAGCATGAACATGGCATATTGGATTTTAAACATGTACCATTGCCATTAAAAAAAATAGTACAACAACAAAATATGATTTAATTTGCTGGTCTGGTTTGAAAAATTACCTGACACTGACACAAGAATATAGTGTCAGTGTCACGTAATTTTTAAAAAATGCCTTTAACTTCAGAGTAAAAATCGATTATATTTACGTGATTAAGGGATGGGGTTCCCATAAGGGACATTGCAGATGCATTAGGGATAAACAAAAAAAAACAGTGGTGTTGGCTAAATCCAAAAAAAAA